CTCCAGAACTCTTTCGTGGTTATCATCTGAAACTGTCCCCAGTCAATACTAGTTCCCCACCCCTTTCTTCCCCAGCCCTTGGCAATCACCAGCCCACTTTTCCTCATGAGTTTGCTTACTCTGGATTCCCCACACAAGTGGAATAATCCAATACGTAGACAAATAATGTGACTGACTAACTCCATTTAGCTCTGTGGTCTCTGGGTGTATTCTGTGTAGTAGAATGTATCAAAATTTCTGTGCATCTCAAGGCAGAATAATATTCCATTGTTGCCATATCATAATGGGCCCTCTTGTGTGTGACGGCAACCCTTCCTGTGGGAGAAGAAGGTGAAAGGTGGTAGGAAAAGTTGGGAGACCCACCCTTCACTGCTGTCTGAGGCTATCTATGAGCAGGCAAACCTCTGGCTGTGAACAGGGGCACCCTGCTCTGTAAAGCGAATGCATGCAAAAGGTCAAAACGATTCAATATTCTCGGTAGCTCCTTTCTCCTCTTCAGATCCCCTTCTTGCTTAATTGCCTTATGCAATCAGCTTGCAGGGCTTGCCACAGCCTCCTCAGGAATTGTTTAGATAAGTCTTTCCCTCTTCCGCTCTAACTTCGCTATTTATAGTGTAATTCTTTATTTCCCAGTTAGACGGAAGTCCCTCAGTGTGGAAGGTAGTTTGCATTCTCTTCCTTTTGTGGGGGAGGTAGATGCTCATTCCATTACTAAAGGCCCGTCTGCTGATAAGTGTGGACTCCTGATTCCTGTCTTATTTCAGTTACTAAGAGATTTGTCACTCCTTGGTGATGTTTGGAAATAACTTAAGGTCAAATAGCCATTTTTTCCTGATAATTTACTTTCTAGTTGAGTTAAGAATGGCTGGAAATAACTGGAAATCAGTACGTTAAGAAAACTAATATTGAACAGGAGATGGCTCTGTGGTTAATGTGCTTGCTGTACCCATGTAAAGACCAGGTGTGGGGTGCATGCATGTAACCCCAGCTGGGATGATGGACAGATATGGAGTTGCTAGGGGTTCACTCACCAGCCATGCTAGCCACATCCATGAGCTCTGAGTTCATTTAGAGATCTTGTCAAAAGGTGGAAAGAGATTGAAAATGACACCCAAAGTAAACCTTTGGCTTCTATGTGTGAATACATGGACAAGGGCATCTGTACATGCATGCACGCCTATACACTAGCTTCACCAAAAGCTAAAAGTAGAGCCATCATATGAGTAGGGCTACCCTATTCCTAGCTACATACATGAAGTCAGCATTCCACAAAGACATCTGCATATCCATGTTCACTGAAGCACTATTCAAAGAGCCAAGACTAGATGCCCATCAAAAGAATACATCCAGAAAGTTTTATAAACATATGTATGTTTATATATACATACATGCAACTAATATTATATAATATATATATGTATATATACTATGCAGGTACATATAAATATATTAATTGGGTGATTGAAAAGTGAAATTCTGTCATTTAACACAAAGTGGATGGAGCCTGAGATCATCAATTGGGTGAAATAAGCCAGACTAATAAAGACGAACTGCTCACTTTTGTATTATTTGTGGGTTGTCATACTTGGTTTTTGACAAATAACACAAAGCTGACATAATTAGGAAGAAAGAATCTCAGCTGAGGTATGGCATCTATCAGATTGTCCTGAGGACGAGTCTGGGGCATTTTCGTGGTTGCTGATGGATGTGGAAGGGTCCAGTCCATTGTGAGCAGTGTTACCCCTGGGCAGGTGTCCTGGGCTATAGAAGACAAATCCTCAACAAGCCAGGGGAAGCAAGCCAGTCGGCAACACTCCTCTGCCCCATGCTTCGGTCCCTGTCTCGTGTCCCTGCATCAGCCTCCCTCAGTGATGGACTGTCAGCTGTAAGATGAAATAAACTCCTTTCCCGCAAGCTGTTTTAGGCCAGTGTTTTTATCACAGCCACAAACTAGGTCCTAGGATTCTTATATACCTGTATACCTATAAGCATTGATTTCTAGGCCATTGTTTAATGTTCAGTTACAAAGGCATTCATCATTCCCTGATGACACACACATACATTACACATACACACACGGTTGTATACATGACTATGTATTGTCTGAGATGATAAGAGAGACTTAAGGGGAGACTAATGTAAGGAAATGAGGAGGGGATGGATACATCAAAGAACACAATAAACCCACAATAAACACAATACAGACAAAGAAAATGAAAACAAGCAATTGGCTTTGGAAAACCATATTTTCTCCACCATGTAGTCAGAAGTGAGATCCTACGAAGAATGTGTGCACGATTGTTCTGTGTTGGTCTAAGTGCTTACCCTAGCATTCAGTTCCATAGCTTTCTAACATCAACTATAATTCACTGGACCGTGGGTGTCTGAAGCCAACGTTTCTCTTCATCTTGGGTTGCCTTCTGTTTAGGCAGGGTTTGTGGAACTGGTTGATAAACCAAGGAAAATTGCTACCACTTTGGAAGGTTGAGGGAGGCATGGTGATGTTTCTCTGTGAACTGTCTTTAGAGTCCCAGCCATAAAGGGACTTGGAGTGTTTTAAAAGAAGTAACATTTGCACACAATTGCTATCATGTCAGATTTATAAGGCTGAACTGTGTCAGGCAAGATGGTCTCTTTGGACTCTTAAAAACCCAGTTTCCTTGATTGCTTCATGTTTTAGAGTTACAGTTGTAGACAGACTCTCTCTCTCTCTCTCTCTCTCTATATATATATATATATATATATGTGTGTGTGTGTGTGTGTGTGTGTGTATATATATATGTAGTGCCTGGCCCACAAGCATGACCATAAATAGCGGACCGTGATAGGTGGGGACTCCTAGTCTAACTGACCAATGAGGGGCCACGACTCAGAAAACAAAGGTGGATAGCTCTTGAAGAGTAGTGCCGGAGGTTGTCATCTGGTTTCCATATCCTTACATGTGCACCTGTGTGTAAACATGCATCCAAACAGGAACACACAACTGCATACATGCAAAAATTACAGTGATTTGTTTAGCGTTAGAGTCTGTAGGTGGAAACCATTTATCAGACATCCTGGGTTTTATATGTAACTGCTTAAGTTTGGACATTTTCTTTTTTTTTTTTTTTTGTTATTGTGCTATTTTTTCTTTAAAAAAAGATTTTGTGTGTGTATGTATACACACGAGCACACATGCATGCTTGAGCACATGTGTACAGGTGCCAGAGGAAGATGTGCAATCCCCTGGAGCTACTGGACCTATAGTTACAGGCAGTTGTGAGTTGCCCTATGTGGATCCTGGGAATTGAACTTGGGTCCTCTGGAAGAGCAGCCTGTGTTCTAACTGCTGAGCGGGCTCTCAAGTCCCACACTGTGCTATTTGAGGCAAGATACATTTTTTTTTCTACTTTGCATCATGCCTGTATCCTGAAATTGATATAGGATTTATTTCTTTACCCATATCCCCCATTCAGCTCCCACCGTGAGATTTTGGGCTGCTTTTGACAGCCGAAGAGTCTTCCTCATAATGACCGGACAGGGCCGGAGGAACTGATTTTGGCTTCACAGGGGAGAGGAGTAACTCAATTAATGTTCCACTGTAATTTAGCCTGGATTAATGGCCACTTACTGGAAATTGTTACAGGCTCTGTGATGTGTTGTTGGAAACTTAATTTCTCCCCGTTTCCCTAGGGCCTTTTCTCCCTCTGCCCAGAGCACACACTTGGAGCTTCAGGAAGGAACATCCTGTTGCAATCATAACTTCATTGTTCCTTCCTATTATTTATTTAGTGTCTTCAAAAAATAATTCCATTGCCTTTAACGATACTAGAGAATCACTAAGAAAGAGCTTTGGGGACAGTGTAGGGGGTCACTGGGTTATTAGCAGGGTAACCCCAGCCTGAAAGGCTCCAGCAGGGTTATTGTCACATCGTGGGAGAAACTTGAGGGCCCTCTTCTGCCTCCTATTCTTTGCTCCTAAGATGACTTCCGACAGTGACTGGCTTTGTAAAACCTTCATGAGACCACAGCGGTGAAAGAGTGTGTGTTAAGTAGCTGTGTGATCCTTGGTGATTCATTTCGCCTCTCTGAGAACGGGTGTTCTTAGCTGTGAGTGAATGGAGAGATGTGTTTCCAGGAAACAATGGGAAGGAAGGAAGGCAAAGCCTGGGACCAGCTAGACAATCCTCAGGTGGCCTCCCTCCCTCCCTTCCTGAATGGCTTAACAGAAAAAACGGCAACAACAATGCCCCTATGCTGAGTAGAAGCATGGTGTGCATGTGGACGCATGTTCAGTTGTGTTTGTGTGTGTTAGTTTGTGCACACTTGTGCACTTGGAAGGTAGAGGTTCAGAGGTCCACCTCATACGCCAGCCATCTACTTTGAGACAGAGTCCTCACTGGCTGATTCTCACTGGGCAGAGGTCAAGGGTCAGGTCCTCCCGGGTCCGCCTCCCCAGCACTGGGATTGCGAGTGTGCACATGCTGCACTTGGTTGAAAAAAAAAAAAAAAATAGGCCCTCTCGCTTACACAGCAAATGTTTTCATCCATTCAGCCAACTTCCCCAGCCCTGGCTCAGTTCTGGCCCCAGGAGCTCTCCGGGTTTCTTCCACACCCGGTGAGGTGTTCACACACACCAGCTACACACACCACATGCTGGGGTCAGTCCCCTCTCCCTCAGGCCACGGGTAGAGAAAGCAGGTTGCCAGGGCCTGTACTGAATGACTCTCGGGGAAGGTTGACCTCCTTCCAGGGGACTCCACATGGGAACGTCTCCAGTATTCCATTTCCGAATCCTGTTTTTAGCTCCCTGGCTCCTCTAGGGACCTCAGTTCTGTCTGAAGTCAATGGAGTCATTGTCGCCAGCCTCCTGGCTAATGACTGTGGCTGTCACTCCTCTTCCTCCTCATGAAGGGAGGTGATCCACGAGGCACTTGGCAGCCCGGGGAAGTGGTCAGATCCGCACCTGCCTGGCACATATTGACATGGCTGTGGTCTGCTTTTCTCCCGCCTTCCTCCAGAGTACAAGAAGAAGTATGGGGAAGAACATGGCTCCTGCCAGGCCGGGATGGCAGGGTTCTTCACCGAGGTGGGTATCAGCCACGCGGCACTTATTTCTCTTACCTTCTTGGTTGTTTGGTCCTTTCCATTTTGTGGGTGGGTGGCCCCTGGAGATGGGAATTCTGGTGTCCCGGGCAGTTGATCCCCCGAGTGAGCAGATTCTGGTGTGTCTACCAGGGGACTTTAAACCTGATGAAGGACACCGGCTCAGGCGGGGTCGCTTGGGTGTGGGGGGCTGGGCTGGCTCATGGGGAGATGTCTACAGAGTTGGATTGGTTCGAGATCTGTGGAAGGAGCTGACGGCAGTTTGAAGATATGTCAGTCACCCGGGTGCCAACTTCACGTCACTTCCAGCCCCTTAGCAGAGAGACTCAATTTTACACACACCAGCCTTTCCGAGCCTAGAATTCTAAAGGCTTCTACTCTGGAATGTGCCCAAGTGACAGGAACAGGGTGATTTTTGACTGCTAGGACATATAAAGGTACTGTTTACTTTATTAAAAATACATTATTTTTTTATATGTGCATATGTGTATGGGTGAACATGAATGGCACGTGTGTGGAGGTCAGAGGACGACTTTCAGGAGTTGGTTCTCTGCTTCGACCAAGTGTGTTCCAGAGTCAAACCCAGTGTCTTAACACATGGAGCCATCGCAGTCCCCAGGGAACTTTCCTTATTTAATGTTCATCTTCTGTAAGTTTCTATATTCTTGTGACAGCCAGGCATGTGCCATTCCACTTCTGGTTTTGCAAGCAGCAGTGCCAACCGTGAACTTGTTCAGGTCAGAGATCAAAAGTGCCTTTCCATTACACGCTTATCTAGATCCTGTTTAGCCCCTAGAACACGTACTGCCTCACATGACCCTTCTGCTGAGTCATCACCCTTCCTGGCAATGGCCACGATGCTTCTAGAAAAGCCTCCAGCACCACTTGCTGGCTCACTGACCCCAAATTGTCCCCCCCCCCACGATACTTAATTTTTAAGAGACAAGATTTTTATAGATTACGTGTATGTGTGTGAGTGTATGTGCATGTGTGTGCAGTGCCCGCAGAGGCCAGAAGAGGGGGCATCAGATTCCCTGGAGCTGGAGTCACAGCAGGTTGAGAGCTGTCTGACATGGGTGCTGGGCTGCTGAGTCATCTTTCTAGCTGCCCCTCCCCCCTTTTAAATCATGGTCAGACATACGTAGTATAAATCCTTCCGTTTATAACCACGTTAAAGCCTACCGGTCAGTTTTTAATGAATTCACAGTGGCATGTGGCTGTCGCTCTTGGGTAGTTTTATTGTATTTATTTATTATTTTCTCCCACTCCAGCCTGGGTCCATTCTTGAACATATGTTCTCTGCTCAGTAGCCTGAGGGATTTTAAAAAGCGAGTCCTGACATCCTGGCCCCATGCCCCCCTGTGACTTGGAAGGCAGAGGCCCCGACTCCACTCTGCCTAGGGCAGACTCTCAGGTCTGTGCCTTTCCCTCCTGGAGGAGCATGCGCAACACTGAGCTGGCAGGAAAGAGCATTCTCTGGTCTCGGGACTTTCCAAATGGCAGCTCAGAGCCAGGCGTGGAGTTGGCCTGTTCTCGGAGACTTCTCTAAAGTCAGAGAGAAACCGTTGGTAATATAGACAAAGAGAGGATTCTTTGAGAGCTGCACCCTCAAACTGGTAAACACAAGGTGCTTTGCCTCTAGCCCCCTTCCGCTGGCCCAGCCCATTCATACCGCATTTTCCCGACTCCTATGACAGTTACGTTCAAACCGTGTGGCCCAGGGTCTCCATGGATTTGGCCCAACACAAAATGCATTTAAAATGTAAAATTCACTTTTGCAAATTTATTTATCACATTTGCAAGCAAGGAGACCGAGTTCTGTAGCGATGTCAAAAGGATGGACCTGTCTGGACTACACAAAGTCCCATGCTGGGTCCTGCGATTGACGCCACCATTAGTTGTTGACGTAAAAAACGTAAAAAAACGAGAGTCTCTTCCTGCCTCCCTCTCTACCATCCTGCCAGTCTACAGCCCATCCCCGAGATGGGCTTTCTCTCTGCATCCTCCCTCCCCACTGAAGAACCCTTGTCTCCATTTCCCGAGTCTGGTCTCCCACAAGGAGTGCCTCACAACCACGGTCTGCAGACAGCCAAGTTCCATGGTTCTTGCTCAGATGCCCAGTGTCTCCCCATCTGCTTACCGGCTTCTGATGAGATCTAAGCTCTGCTGTCCACAGCCTGCCTCTCCGGCCTCTCCGGCCTCTCCGGCCTCTTCCACTCCCCATCTCCTCCTGCAAACATAGCCATGGTTGCTGCCAGGACACGTTACATTCTCACTGTGACAGTGTACTGGAGTGCCACACGAGGCCCTGGAGCTTGTTACACACAGCGCATCCAAAGGCATTCAGCAACAGAACGTTGGTGTATTCTGTTTTAATCACGAGGATGAGGCACTGGGCTACTCAGAGGGCTGCTTCTAGAATATTCTTGGGCATGTACTGCGCACAGACAGAGTTAGGGCTTGAGTGATTCAGCATGGGGCGGTGTGGAGATATTTCCCCCTAAGGATGGAAGAGATCAGAACTCACTGAGCATTTGACAGGGAACTGGGGGACAAGGGTTCCTGGGGGAGGTGGGGATAGGTAGAAGGAAGGTAGGGGAGGCAGGGGGAGGTGGAGGAAGGTGTGGGGAGGTAGGGGTGTGTGTCTGTTTGGCCCCATCAGCTGGTAAGTTGGAGAGGGTGAGGCATTAGAGCTGGACAGAAGGAGGGCAAAGGGCAGGGCATGTAGGAGAGACCCAGGCAGTGGGTGCAAGCTAAGGGTGACCAGAAGGAGGAGAGAATAGGGACTCAGAGCCCAAGGTACCCTTGGTGCTTTGCCATTTGCCCCCTAGGCTCTGCAGGTAAGTAGGGACAGAGTATCCAGAGCACAGGAGAGGGTGGACGGCCCTGGAGGGGAGGCCTTCATATAGTTGTCCAACTTCAGCATTGTCTCTTGACTTGCCTGTGTTCAGCCTCAGCTTTAATTCCGGGCTTTGGGTCCCTGTAAATAGAGGGTCTTTGAACTCTGTCTCCCTCTTTTCTGGAACTTTAGCTGTCTGCAACTGAACAGGAAATATACTTGAAAGGGCCAGGCAGGCCCCAGTTCCTATCCCCGCCCTCCTGCTGACCTCCACACCCTGCCCCTGCTAGGAGCTGTAGTTTGCTGGATGTGGCCATGTTGGGCCACACTGTTCCCACCCGAGATGTCTGCTTGACCTGTGGGTCAGTGAATGTCCCTGAGTTATGGATGCCCTGTGTCCTTGAGGATAAAGGACAATGGTAGTCATTTTTGTACACTCACTAGAATATTAGAGGGGACATCCTCCAAGCTTCTAGATGAGACAAGGAAGGGCCAGACCACCATAGAGATGTTAGGTGGCATTTCTCTGCTCAGATTTAACAGTAGATGCCCTGCTGCTAGGTGGCAGGCAGACAAAAAAGCCCTTTCAGGCTCATCCCCATGACCTCGAACTGTAGTGGCATCCTGGGGAAAGGCCCACGCTGCTGATTGAGGGGTTGGATTTATTCAACTCTGTCTTTTACTTGTGTGCACTTGTGAGTGACATTGGTATTGGCTGTTCCTCAAGTGAAAAAGAGCTTAGAATTGATCACATTTTTTCCCTGACGTTTCTGAACAGCACCAAAAAGGACCCAGACACCACTCACAGTGAATAGAAAAAGCCAAACACGAGGGCTTCCCGAAAGACAGCGTTTCCCTTGAATACAGCCAGGAGGGCCACAGCGTTGGCTGAGCCTGCCAGCCAGTGTGGACCAGATAGACAGTGTGATGACTGATGAGGGAAGAGGAGAAGAAAAGTAGGAGTTTAGTCTTCATGTTATAAATTTTATTATTATTAGTGTGTATGTGTGTGTGCATACATACATGCCTGTGCATAGGAACACACATGTACATGCATCTATAGAGACCGAAAGTCATCTTCATGTGCTGCTCTTCAGGAGCCGTTCACCTCGTCTTTTGAGCCAGGGTGTCAATGAACCTGGAGTTTGCTGATTAAGCTGGCTGACCAACGAACCCCAGGGAGCTGGCTGTCTCATCCTCCCTAGGCGAATGCCACCATGCCTGGATTTTTACGTGGGTGCTGGGGATTGAACTCAGGTCCTCACACTTGTGTGGCGAGCACTTTACAAACCAGCTAGGTCTCCAGCCATCTTTTAAGGTTTTAAGGTGACCGCGTTTAGACACTTTGTGACACTTGAGAGGTAAACAGGAGATGTTAACTATCTACTTAGTTTTTCTCCTGGATGGATACACATCACAGGCAAACAGCGCGTCCCTTTGCTATCTCCTGCTGTTGCTCAGAGCCTCAGCTCAGGACAGGTGGCGGCGAAGGGAATTTTACACTGTGTCAGGGCTGGTCCTGGGGGGGGGGTCTCGCTCATGCTCTTCAGAGTCCTTTGTGTTCGGGCATTGACTACGAATTCCTTTTCAAGCTCGAGGCCAAGAAAACAATCTCTGTCCTCTAATGAAGTCGTGGTTTGTCTTTCAAACACGCTGGCTGAGAACTAGCCCTGCCCTCACACCAGTGTGAGGAGAGGAGAGGATGTGGATGGGTGAGGGAGTATGCATCGCACCAGCCCTCCTGGTGACTGTGGAAGTGGTCTGTCTCATAAGAAAGGATGGGATGGAGAGAAGAGAAGAAGGCTTCCCATAGTGCTGTGGCCCAACAGAGGAAGGGACCATAAACACACGGAGGCCCAGCGCCTGGACTGTATCTGTGTTTTCATACTGACATGCCATTAAAATTTATAATCTCAATAAAAGCTGAAGTATACCCGACATTGTCTTTCAGCACCTATATTCTTATTTTATTTAGTATAGCCATTTCCTTTTTTTAAAAAAAGACTTACTTGAGTGCTTGTCTGCATATGTGTATGTGCACCGTGTGTGCATATTGTATTTTTTAAAATAGTAACCTACAAAGAATTAGATTTCACTTTTTTTTGAATGAAATGGTTTTTGTTTTTTTCCCCCCATCATTCTTCTTTGTGCTTTCCCACCCCTAGGGCCTTCTTTCCACATTTAAAATTTTATTTATTTATCATTGTGCATTGATGGACGAGTGCACACACGTGTGATTGTGCATGCGTGTGTGTATGTGTGTGTGTGTGTGTGTGTGTGTGTGAGTGAGTGCATACAGCTATGTCTGCCATAGTCCATGGCTGGTGGTCAGAGGACAACTTTCAGAAATCATTTCTGTCTTCCCACCTTAGCTTTTGGGTGGTCTAGCTTTTACCAAACCCCCTTTGCCAACAGAGACATTTAACTGGTCAATATTTTTATTGAGACAACATCCAACCAACCGAGGTTAGCTTTGAACTCAGTATGTAGTCAAGGCTGGCCCTGAACTACTAATACTCCAGCCTCCATCTCCCAGATGCTGGGATTACAGGACTGCACCACCATGCCAAGCTTGATGTCTCTGCGTTCACTTGAGCACTGTTCCCTGGAGCCACATGACTTAGGAACAGTACCAATTGCTTACCATTCCATGTTTTATCTTAGGGTGAAGCTGGTGTGTGTTTGTGGGAGGTCCATGCAGCCACATTGGTAGCCAAAACAGGGGCTTAGTCTGTCACTCATATCTCTGTCTTTGTTTAGCAATCTCATCTTGAGTCCTGAAAATCCTAGCTACATGGTAGACTCTAGATTGCCCAGGACCTGGTTCCATATGTGTTTCCACAGAGAGGCATTGTAAATTCAATTTCTTTGTCATGTCTGTGACTCACCTTCTCTGTCTCCCTTTGGATTTTTCCCCCTAGGAGCTGGTGGTCATGGGTGCCCCAGGTTCATTTTATTGGGCTGGAACGGTCAAGGTGCTGAATCTGACGGACAACACATACTTTAAACTGAATGATGATGTGATTATGAACAGGCGGTATACCTACCTGGGTGAGTAGCTGGGGAGTCTGTAGGTGACAAGGCAGACTGTGTGTGATCACCATCACCACAGGCTCACACATTGTTGCTTTATGAGTGGAAAGAAGCAGATGGTTTTGTACCCATCAATCTACTTAATTACACTTTAATTGCAGTTTCTTAACATCTAGATGCATACATTTGTGGTAGAGAGGTCAAAAGAAGAAACCCCATCAAAACTGAACCTTTTTGTTAAGCTATGATGGCAGAGCCTCCAGGGTACCAACCATTTTCTTGCCTTGATTTAGCAGCCAATCACAGTCAGATGGTCAGACACAAAATGAATGTGATTGAATCTGGCTTTCCCTGGAGATAATTTTGAATGGTGTGTCTGCTTCCTGGTCACAAGTACAAAGAGTAAGAATCAGAATTTTCATGAGGTTGAGCAACATGATGCTGAGCTTTCCTCAAAGGTTCTAGAAATCTCTCTCTCTCTTTTTCAGTTCTTTTAATTGTGTAGAAAGAAGATAGGCATAATTTAAGTTAGCAGCCACCAGGGCTGGGCACAGCAGTGTATACCCATAGTTCTTGCTTCTCTGGAGGCCACAGCTTCAGCAGGAAGTGCATGGAGTCAAGGACATTTGAGGCTGTTCTAGACTACATAGCAAGAATGCTATTTCAGAATAAGGGTGGGGGAGGAAGGAATGGAGATGAGAGGAGACAAGGGAGGGAGGGAGAGGGGGAGGGAGAGAGCGAAGGAGGGAAGGTGCTGATAGAAGGCCATCTCATTTAAGAATAGAGATAAGCTGGGCAGGGTAGCCCGTACCTGTAATCCTAGCCCTCTGGAGGCTGAGGCAGGAGGATCACAAATTTGGGGCCAGCCCGGGAAATTTGGCGAGACCTTGTCTCAGAAAACAAGGAACAAGCAAGCAAAGAAGACACAGAGGTGGGCCACCTTTGCTTGTGCAGCAGTGCCAATCCATGCTTGCCATTCCCAGCTTGACTGTTTGCCAGCTAGCACAGACCCAGCAACACTTTGCACACTTTGAGGCATTTCTGCATCACCTTAGAAGGCAGGCAGTACCACCACCATCCTCAGTCATAGGTGAGGGAGTGTGAAGGCATTGTGTAACTTGTCAGAGTCACGTGGCTTAAAGGCATCGAGGATGCAGGGTCTAAATGCTGAAGCCCCCATCCCCAGGGCGTGTGCTGCCCAGACGGCACTTGCCTCTGGTACTAACTCTCCCACTAAGCTGTGAGCAACTTGAGGTGGGGTTTCTGCCTGACATTCCCAGGGCATTGTATAGTTAGTGACTAGAAGGGACCCAACACAGAGTCAGGGATTTAAGGGAAGGCACATGAGAGTCACAGCTACTTGGTGGCTTTAGGTTTGAGGACAGGTCCTGAGAACTACAGGACCTGTGGTTTCTCTCTGCGACCAAGCATGAGGCTCTTATCTGCTGCAGGGATTAGCATGGAGTAGTCGAGGGTGGGTATCACTCATGGAAGTCTTGGGAAATGTGAGCCTTCAGGCTGAGAGGCATCATCCATGGGGAAAGAGAGATAGCTGTGCTCAAGCGATCACAGCCGACATGTGTCACAGGGTTTGAAGGCCGTGAGAAAGCTTGAATGTCACATAGCAACAGACGCTTTTTCTACCGGCCAAGGTGTGATTTCAGCCTGCCGGCTAGGCATGTGGAAGGCAGGAGACATTTAAATCAAACTCAGGTGACCATTTCCCCATTGTTTCTGGGTTCCTTTGAAACCCAGATCCTTCAACTGCCCATCTGCTCACCCATCTATGCATCCATCCACCACCAGTATCTCTCACTTCTTTTAAAAGGGATATTATTGCATAGTTGCTAACTGCAGATACTCCAAACTCATGCAGATGGACTAGGAATCTTGCTTGGTAATCTTGAGCATGGTTGGCTAACCATGTATTGTCTATATGCAAAAGAAGAATATTGAAATATTTTGCAGTATTAGGAATGGAACCCAGGGCCTTATGTATACCAAGCAAGCACTCCACCATTGAGCTGAACTCCTAGCCCTTAGTTCATTTTCCTGACCTGGATGGGGTTGCGCTATAAGGATGTGCATTCTTGCCCATTCATGAAGTTGTGTGCTTTTGTGTGTGGATCATGTCATTAGAACTATATTCATTTATGAAGCTGTGTGCTTTTGTGTGTGGATTGTGCCATTACAATGGTATTTCCCCAAAGTAAGAAACGCACAGAGTATTTATCACCCTACTTGTTCCATAGGGGACAATCAGAAGGTACTGCCCTCACAGTGTCCCTGTGAGCATGCATTTGTACGAGACAGGTTCTTTAATATGAAAAGATTGACAGCTGCCACTTGTCTTCCGGAAGGGTTTACATCCCAACAATAGCTAGAGCATACTGTCTGGGTAGAGTTTTCTTCTGCTGCATATGTTTTCCTTTGCTGGCCTTCTTTGTCAAGCGTGTCTTCCATTTCTACCCATCCTGTTCAGGCTATGCAGTGACCGCTGGCCGCTTCTCTCATCCGTCCATCACCGAAGTGGTAGGAGGCGCCCCGCAGGATGAAGGCATTGGAAAGGTGAGGAGGAGAAAAGCCTGAGGTACAATGTAGTACCAGGCAGAGGAGGGAGCATGCTGCCCCGAGGAGGCTTTGCGAGTTTGCTTTGTCTTGAACTCTCACCCAGTAGGCTGACGAGTAAGTGGGGACTGAAGGGGAGCCCTCCCCTCTCTCTGACTGTCTCCTTCTGGTCACATTGGGAGGGTTTACCTTGACAGCTTAGAGTGTTTGAAATTTACTTTGTGTGCGATTTTAAAGACCACCCTTGACATCCTGGCCCTCTCCAGAGGAAGCATCCAGCGCTGTCCAAACTCAAACACCTCCTCCTTCCCAAGAGGCTCTGACCTGATGGACTCAGATCTCATCTTCGATGTCTTGAGAGCTTCATCAGCCCCGATTTTCATGTTTCCCGATGTTTCAGAACAAAACAAAAAGCCCACTGTGTTTTCAAGACTAGTGTAACCAGGGCTAGCCTGGGAACATGTAGATCTGGCTTTCTCTATCACATCTAACAAGCAAATAGGGGATACCGCAAAGCACTTTTAGTGGGAATCATGGCCTCTAAGGGCACACTGATGGGAACTGTGGCGGCTGTGAGCAATGTCAGGTCCAGGCACTCCCGCTCAGGAGATCCACGTTTATCTTACTGGCTGTCCTCATCTCTCCTCATCCTTGTTCCTGTCAAGAAGCCATTTAGAGAGAGGAGAATTAATTATGGCTTAGAGTCATCACGATGCAGAAGGCATGGCAGCAGGAAGGAAGCATCACACCCCAGAAGCAGAAAGTTAACCTCAAGGACTGACCCTACTGACCTTCCGATAGGCCCCTCCTCCCAACCCTCCCAAACAGTGAGACCAGCTGGGAAGCAGGAGTTCAAACACTTGAACCTATGGGGGGGGGGGGTGCGTACCTCATGCAAGCCACAGTGTTGGGAAAAGCTGAACAGTGCTGTAAGTGCTGGGCCCATAGTCCCAAGGGTAGATCAGTGTTGGTGTCTGACCATATATATATCCTGTGGTTCGGAGAAGTGGATCCCTGAGTTCTGGATCCCACGGCCTGGTTAATGAGCACCATCATCGGAGAAGTCAGCTCAGAAGCCATTAGCTGGCCGGGCTTGGCTGAGACATGCTCATGAGGTCATGTCTCTGGATCATCTTGGGCAGCAGGCAGCATTCATTCGCTGCTGGGGTTTTAGAAGTGTGATGCGGTGGAGAGAGGTCCTTAGAAAGTGAAACCAAGTAACTCAGGGCTGAGAGGCAGAGTTGAACTCTGATAAGTCATGTCAAGAGCTGGCTCCTTTTCCGAGTCACATGAATTCCTCTACATAGTGGAAAAAAAAAAAAAAAAAAAAAAAAAAAAAACAAAACCCAGGGGCGATGGCGCCGTCTGAGGAGGAAGCAGGGTCCCCAGACTTCTCCATTGTGACCTTTAGAATGTGGGTGCTTTCAGTCGTGGTGTGAGCACACCAAGGCCTTCACACCAACGTGGCTGTTCCTTAGCCTAGGAAAGGGCCCTCTACCCTGGTTCTCATGAGCTTATCTTTGATATATGGAACTGGGGAGCTTGGAGAGAGTGCTTGGTGATTAAAAGTGCTTGCTGCCTTTGTAGAGGACTTCTAGTTCCCATAGTTCCCAGCACCCATATCAGAGGCTCACAGCCACTTGTAATTCCAGCTCCGGGAGATCTGATGCCCTCTTCTGGGCTCTTCACACCACACACACACACACACACACACACACACACACACACACACACACACACACACGGACACACACGGACACACACTGGAGAGATGGTTCAGTGGTTAAGAGCACTGGTTACCCTTGCAGAGGACCAGAGTTAGGTTTCCAGCACTCACATGGTGGCTCACAGCTATCTGTAACTCCCATTCCAGGGAGTCATATGTCCTCTTCTGACCTCTGTGGACACCAGGCATGCATATGTTGCACATACATACATGTTGGCAAAATGCTCATATACATAAAATAAAATCTTTAAATCTCTTTAAAAACAAATCAGACATCAATGAATTAATAGTGTTAAGACCTCTGGAAAAAATTCCACCATAAAGGAATTTATTTAACATTTTATTGCTTATTTCCCCATACGTGATGGTGATGATGATGGTGATGGTGGTGATGGTGATGATGGTCATGATGATGATGGTGATGGTGGTGATGGTGATGATGGGATGGTGATGATGATGATGGTGATGGTGATGATAGTGATGCTTATGATGGTGATAATGATGATGATGGTGATGGTGGTGATGATGATGGTGATGATGGTGATTATGATGGTGATGGTGATGGTGATGATGATGATGATGATGGTGATAATGATGGTGGTGATGATGATGATGGTGATGATGATGGTGGTGATGATGATGATGATGAATAATTATCCACACAGATTCCATAATTCTAACTACTGTGTGGGATCATGTTGGAGAGGTTCTTCCCAGTACTTACCTCAACCACCTTGTCTTAGGTTGTAACTTCATTAAAGTTTTAACTCCAGTCCTGAAGGAGTTAATTTAAAGAGAAAACCTACTCAGTTCCAATTGGGGGGCTCTTCCAGGCCCTATTATGCATGGTTTCTACAAACAATGCAGCTCAGGGCTGTGGAGTTCCTTTGCACCCCAGGATTGACACTTTCTTTTTGGAGTTGCTGAGAGCTCCATTGGCACCTTTGTTATCATCAGCCAGTGTATGCACACCTGTGAGAGGCCACAGGAAGACAATGATGAGAACCTGCAGTGAGTGCTTCCATCCTGACAAGGTCTGCTTTGTCCTCTTTCAATAGGTTTATATATTCAGAGCTGACCGAAGATCAGGGACCTTAGTGAAGATTTTCCAGGCATCAGGAAAGAAGGTGAGTATTGATGTGGCTGGAGAGGGAGTCACTTCCCTGCAAGGGTGTGTATAACCTGAGGGCTCACGCGCATCTGAGGAGACATGCAGCAGATGAGCTTGTACAGGGCTAAGGCTACAGGTTTGCTTTAACAGGGTTCAGGGTGCAGGTGCTGGTGCCCAAGCGATGCGTGCTATCTCTCCGCTTTTCCCTCCCCTTCACTTTTGCTTTCCTGCAGCTTCTCATGCAGGTACAAAGCCAACCCAGAAAGATCAGGTACCGATCATCTTCCCGGTCTCATCTGCCTGATGATGCCTCCTCTCCCCATGTCCCTGATTGCCAGGAGGACCGCTATCACATAAAGAAAATTCAAATGAAACCCACCTTAGGTCACGAGCAGGATGTTCAACACACACCCAATAGGCTGTGTGTACCACAGGGTAGCCATGGATGCAGACTAGCATAAAATTATAAAGTTCCTTAAAACATCATGAGGGGCGTGTGTGTGTGTGTGTGTGTGTGTGTGTGTATGTGTGTGTGTGTGTAATATCATGAGGGGCGCGTGTGTGTGTAACATCATGAGGGGTGTGTGTGTGTGTGTGTGTAAAACATCATGAGGGGCGTGTGTCTGTATGTGTTTATTTCAGGTAGTGACTTTGTATCTCAATGTTCTCAGAAGATTGAGAAACACATAACCACAAAGCCATTTCTGAAGGCTGTGTTGGAAAAGGTTCATGTGGCACCCTCCATGCTCACCTCCCTCCCGGTTTCCTGAAAGTTTCCAGTAGAATAGCTTGGTGACTCATTCACATCCTTTTCCTGGGCTTCCCTCTCCTGCCTGTGTTTTTGTGGCTTAGGTTAGCAGGAAGGTGTGGCTGAGTTTGGTGGCTCAGTGGGCTAGGACGATTGGGGATTACGGGGGCTGCTGGAGCCCTTAGTGGGCTCTGGAACAAAGCTTGGGATTCCTGGAATGTGGGAGGGAGCTGCCAGGAGGCTTTGTCCACAGTTTCCCCAAGACAAGGGGGAAACAATGATTGTTTCTCATTGGCCCATTTCCCTGGTTACCACTTCATTCCTGCTGTGGGCTGTTCTTGCTACACACCAGCCTAGAAACATTCCACGTTGCTCCAACAGTGAATGGTGCTCTGAATTCCAAAAACCCCACTTACACATAGTTGTTATTTTTTTTTTCCCTATGGCTGCAATTTTAACAGCCTTAATATGTACACTCAGTATATAACGATCATAGCCTTTACATGAAAAAAAAAAATGCACCCACAAGCTTGGCTCTGCCTCTAGCTCTCGGAAGTGTACTGGCATGTGTTATTTTAACATTTCCCAAACCCCAAAACATTAGCATCAGAAAGTAGCAGTGAAAAACTTGAAAAGCAAGTTTTCTAAGCAACTCTAAAGTTAGAAAAGGAAGAGCTATGTACTACTTGCAATGTATAAAACAGAGAGAGGGGTGACTATCATATGGCAAGTGAGATGGTGTCCATTGTGGATAACGTGCCTACATGTGAACATTCTTTCACAGTGCTTGTAGAACTGGATCCTCCCCCCACTCCCCCCTCCTCTCCCATAACCACCCCCCCCCCCGCTGCTGTTTTCTGAGTGTCTGTCTATCATCAGTCTGTCTGCCTTTCCTTCTGTCAGCAGTCTGCCTGTAGTTTCTATTCTCTGCCAAAAAGCCCCTAGGTGTGGTGAGGGGCTTCCATGACCAATTGTGTTGAAGTAAGTCAGGTTCAGGGGATGATTTGGGAGTCGATGCTGTGAGGGGAGATGAGCAGCCTTTGAGAACACTCTGAGCTGCCAGAGGAATCAGTGCATTGAGCTCTAGGACAGACATGTGTCTGTTTGAATGGCCTCCCGGTGACAGGGTGAGCCGGGTTCTTACTTTGCACAGACTGCAGGGCCAGGGTGCTTTACCCCAGCTCCACAGCCATCTTCCTAATTCTCCCCCTCCCAACCTCCCAGCCTTCCAGGCTCCCTCAATTCCTTCCACATGTGGTGTGTGTGTGTGTGTGTGGTCATACGGATATACACATGTATGTGCATGCTGATGCGTTGCATGCATATGGATGCTAGGGGCCGATGTCTGGTGTCTACCACAGTCACTCTCTACCTTATTTCTGAGAGAGGCCCTCAGGTGCCGGGCTGTGAGCTCCAGGGATCCACCTGTCTCTGCTTCCTCAGCACCAGGATTGTAGATGCTCAGATTCGGGTTCTTATGCTTGCACAGTCTGTCCGAGCCACCTCCCAGGACCCCATCATTTCTTTAGGGCTCTTCTCTGCAGAGCAGTTGTCCTGCTCTGGAGTCACTCCGAAATCATCTACACCCCTGCTGTGGCCTTCACTGTCCCCTCTCAGCATCTCCAGCTGCCATTCATTGTCCTCACTATCATCCATCCGACTTTGACATAGGCCCATCCCTTCTGCAGACATGTGCTTATTGCTAGAAGACATTCTCAGCTCTCTGACTTCTCCACGATCTTATAGAGAGAGGATATGACCCCCTGGGCTTGCAAAGGATGTCCCCAACTTGGACCTTTTGTCCAGGGCTCCATAGACAACAGAAGGTTCCAACTAGAAAGCCACCCATTTGCTTCTGCTTTTCTTTGGCCCCACTCCGGTTCAGATTGTCTGGCGTCCTGGTTCCCTTTCAGGAAGAAAGGAAACCAGCAACGATACCACAACCAGAAAAGAAAACGTACAACAGCGGTCTGCTCTTTACTGAGTTGACACCTTACAGCGGTAAGCGCAAGGCCATTGCTGTTTGTGGTCGGATGTGAATACAGACGTACTCCGAACTGCCCAGGATTGTGGCTCTGGATCCAAAGCATGTCCTTGACATGTCGAAATGTCATCGACTCACCTCAGTGGGTGAAATGTCGGCATTTAAAAAAGAAAAAAACTGAAGGAGTTTTGATTGAACACCCATGAAACACCAAGCTAAATAGCCTGCTGGGGTTAAGCCAATACCCTTCCTGCTCTTCTTGTCTTGCAAGGTTTCAAAGCAATGTTCCCAAGTCCTCCAGGGCCAGTGTTAACTGCAGGAAGTAGTTTGGAGCTCTCACCATCTCTCTCAAACTCCCCACAAGCAAGGGAAAATTCCAGGCCCTTCCATTTGAAAGCAGTTTCAAAGCTACATCCTTACAGGGCAGGCACAGCTTGCACACATAGGGCAAATGCAATGCTCTCTTATTTTCTTATTTACAGAAGTGGCTATTAGCCCAGGGCCTCTCATTTTCTAGGCAAGGCTCTCTTTCCACTGAGCTACCTATCCTTAGCTCTTTTGTGACTTTTACTTAAAGATCTACTTTTCTGATTTTAGATTATGTGTGTGTGTGGATGTGTGCACATGAGTGCAGTACCCGTGTGATCTCACATGTCCCTGGAGCTGGAGGTGGAGGCAGCTAGGATCTGCTCAGTGTGGGTGCATGGAGCAGAAGTCAGGACTCTGCAAGAACAGCGTATGCTCTTAGCCACAGAACCATCTCTCAGCCCCCACTTTTACTTTAGAGGGAGGGGCTTGCCACGCTTGCCAGGCTGGCCTTAAACTTGGGGTACTCTTAGCTCAGCCTTCTAGGTAGCTGGGATTACAGCCCTGGGCCACCAACCCCACACACAGCAACTGGTCTTAAAACAAAAACAAAAAAGCCCAAAAAGCAAAAAACAAAACAAACAAACAAAATGAATCTGTTATACACTTGCACTCACGTGAACAGGCACACACTTAAACATGCACACTACACAACACATGCACATGTGCGTGTACACACACACACACACACACGAGAGAGAGAGAGAGAGAGAGAGAGAGAGAGACAGACAGACACATGAGAGAGAGAATAAAGTAACAGGTACTGATTACACTCTGATTCAAGAAGATCCAGTGTAAACCAGCCCCATCTCCCCATCTATCAAACATGATAGAACATGAAATTACATGTTCTCCTGTCATGCCGGCTCATGATGCACCCATCTCTTACTCTGTGTAAGGCTGGAGAGGCTATGTGCCCCATGTCATGTTTCCCTACCTGCCTGTGTGGTAAGACTTCATATTCCTACTTGCGTGCCTTGTCAAATGTCTGGTACATGGAGTACATACATAAACATGGTGTCTCATTGTTGGGGGACTGTCCCTTTACCTGCCCCTGAACAGTGCTCTAGGAAAGGGCTCCATAAGGTGACTAGCTTTGGTTTCTTATTGACTGGAAGTCCACAGGAGCTGGGTATGCCACCTTTGCTCAGCAGGCAGAGCTTCCGAGGGGCTGGGGACATGGGCTGAGGAAGCAAGGGCCGCGGCGGGTAAGGACAGCCTCTGAACACTTGCTGTGATTGGATTTGGTTACAGATGGGCTCTTACTTCGGCTCCTCCTTGTGTGCAGTTGACCTGAACATGGACGGCCTCTCTGATCTTCTCGTGGGGGCCCCCATGTTTTCTGAGGTCAGAGATGAAGGGCAGGTTACTGTCTACCTCAGCAAAGGAAATGTGAGTACAAAACTGGCCAATGAGGAGATGGGTATCGGGGAGGGACATCTGTCCAGTGGTAGTGGCCAGCACCCTCTGGATCCCACTGGAAGTGAATTGAGCATGGGACCATGCGACCCAAAGGAGAAGAAGACCTGAGCCCTGCATGCAAAGGGTTAACGATCCTTGCATGGACAGTTGTATACAGTGTGGGACCCAGGAGGAAGCCTAATGGCTCCGGGGTGCTGCGTGTGGTTTTTCCTGCTTTCTATCAGTGATGCCATTGTGATATATAGTAAGAGTCTCCACTTTTCAGATGAAATAAACCAAAGCTCAGAAAGGTTAACTCAGTTGTTTCAAATCTCACAGCTAAAAAAGTAGAGAGGCTGGGATTTGACCTCAGCAAGCCGGCTTCATCTCTAGGCTCCGTCACCTCTCAGAGTCTATATGCATCTTTCTGAAGAGCCAGGGATAGGATGTATGTGAGGAATCTTGAGGGAGGAGAAGGAATTGAGCGGAAGGTGAATTGGGCTGGGCCAGAGCTCCCAACAGAAAGACTCATGAGGGTTGAGTGGTAAGGTAGCAGGACCCTTACCTGGTTCAGCATGGAGCAGGTGCAGGGTACCAGCTGATAAACTGGCCTAAGGCTGTAAGCACACTGTCCTTTATTCTTCAAAGTGTAAAGGGGAGAGGCAGGTGCAAAGGTACCTTCCTCCTCTGCAGCTGATGGAAGGTGGCTGGATGTGGCCTTAGGAAGAAGGGCAGAGAAGTAACCAGTAGAGGCAGGAGACCATGACAAAGCAGACTCCAAGTGTTCCATCACACTTGCCACACTCCATCTAACACACCTCACCACTATAGGGCTACTGTGTGTGCCAGGGTATTCCTGTTTCTGTTGAACCACGGCCCCCTTGGTTAGTGGCCATACAGCACGATGGAGGAGTGGGGATAGTAGAGTAGGTAACCCTGAACTTGACTCTGACCCTGCCAAATCTTGTATGTGAAGGGTGAGCAAAGCATCTTGAGATTGATCATTTCTTTCTCTACAAAGTAGGGAGTCCCATGTTGTCTAAACAGGGTGACCAAACAGTAGATGGGTGGAGATATACAGAAAGACTTGCGGTTTTCTCCATCACACTAGCAGGAAGAATTACAGAATTGGCCATTTGTGACCAAGAGTGCTTGGATTTAACCAACCACAGATTGAACACATGGGAACAAACAAGCAAGCAAACAACCATTGTGTCCTACTGGACATGTGTAGACTTTTTGCTTGCCATTGTTCCCTGAATGACATAGTGTAAAACATATTTGCATATCATTTGCATTGTATTAGGCATTGTAAGTAACCTAGATATGGTTTAAGGATAGGGGAGGGTGTCCATAGGGTCTGTGCAAATACCAAACTGTTTTATATAAGGCATCTGAAGTTATACTTGGACATCTGAAGTTTTGGTATGCTGGGGTCCAGGTGTCAATACTCCCAGACACCAAGGGACAACCTTTTGTGTTTTGGAGTGGGGCCTGACAGATGAAATAAATCAAGTCATCGGATCTTTATTTTTCAAGCTGCAAGTTCTGTTTATAGCAAGAGAAATGTATTCACAACAAAAGCCAGACACTGTTGTGGTGGACTGTGGGTGTGTACATCCAAAACACCTCCACACCAAGGAAGACTTCAAGATTCTTAAGCCTGCAATTGTCAGGTGTTTTAATGTCCTGGTATTTGTATGTCAGTCATTCATGGGGACCATTCTTGGACAGCTTCTGCTGCCATGTGCACCATTACCCCTCCCCCCCCACACACATAAGTGTTTGCCTACGAATCTCAAAGCTGAGCCATGTGTGATGCACTCCGACCCCAGATGCCACTGGGTATAGAACCAGGGCCCTTTGACAGGATTGCTAGTGCATGTTCTGTGCGAACCTCAGGGACTTGTACTGAAAGGCACAAGAGAAGGAGAAAGTGAAGTGTGTGCCCCCTCGCTTACTAGAATCTAAGGTTTCTACACCTCTCTACCAAAAACCAAAGAGAAATCTGAGGAAGGAAATAGATTTAGTCAAGTCCAGCCCCAAGGAAAAGACAGGAGACTTCTTAATCTCAAATTGACATCCTGGGGCGGGAGGTTCAAGAGTACAAAGAGAGACACAAAGGTTACAGAGAGGCTCTAGGCAGGGCGTCACAGTGCTGGGGAGGGTCTTCCTCCCTGAGCCCATCTCCTCTCTTCCTGAACTGGACCTAGGACCTCAGTCCTAGACCATCACACGCATTTTCTTTTCAGATGAACACAATTCATCTGAGCTGAGGTGGGGAGCCTCCAGGAAAATCCGCTCCTTACAATTTAGAAAACCACAAGAAAGGGCTGGGCGGTCTAAAGTCAGGTGGGGAACTAGAGAGGGGAGCCATGGGGACTAATTCTTGCTCTATGGTATCTTAAAGCAGTGTTAGGCTAGGTAGGTGTGGTGGCTCACACCTATAATCCTAGCATTCAAAAGGCAGAGGCCAGCCTGATCCACATAGAGACTAGCCAGAGCTACACACTGAGGTCTTCCCTCCTAGAAAATAAAAGTACTGTGGGGGAAGAGTTAGGAAGGACACTCTGGAGATTGGGGGGGGGGGGAAGAAGGCTTGCCTGTCTGAACTGGATCAGGTGACGCTCAGTCATTGGGCCTCCTGCCGTTATCTTTTTCCTAAAACATATCTCAGGCTATTTGCAGACTGTCTTTTACTTTGCTGTGAGGAAAGAGGTTTGGGTTCCTGTGGTCCTGCCCAGCTGTTTCCTGTCCATGGCTGTGCCCTAAGAGGGTGGCGTTCTGAGCCCCGAGTTTTCATTGTGCTTTTTTGGGTCCCTTCCTTTCTCTCTACCTCTGTCCTGTTTCCCAGGGAGCACTCGAAGAACAGCTGTCCCTGACTGGAGATGGCGCCTACAATGCGCACTTTGGGGAAAGCATTGCCAGCCTGGGTGACCTTGACGATGATGGGTTCCCAGGTGAGTAGGGAACCTCTGGAGCAGGGGTTCCCCCAGATGCAGCAGCTGGCCATGGTCTTTGTCCCTTGTTCACAACTGGGCCTTGGACTCCCCCATGCCACCCTGGAAGGCACGCAAACTACCACGGAGAGAAAGGGCAACTCTTAGAGATGGAGTCGGTACCAGCATGTTGTTCCTACACAATCCATTCTCTGGCCTCCTGGGGGCTTCTTCCTCTCACAAAATGGTTGTCTCTGCATCTGGGATGCTCTGTCATGTTGTCGGGGAAGTGAATAAGGAGAGAGTTAGATAGTTCCCTCCCTGATAACGTCAGCCTGGCTGGGTGTGTGTGCCAGAGGAATGGGTGGTATGTGTACCTAATGCCCATTTCTTTTTGGATGATGAGACTCCCCTCCTCCCCCAGCCTCTTGGATTTTCTCTCTGGTCCTTTTAATACCCCTGTCCCTTACTGTATGGAGAGAATGTGGGCATCGGGAACTGCTTCTGCATGGTCGGGATGTGGCTCTTGCTTAGGCCAGATATCCTTCAATACTTCACACCATTGGCCACAGATGTCTTCCTTCAGTGACAGGACTGTCATCTGGAGGTCATGGGAATACATACCCCTGACCCTTCATCTCACATCAGCAGACACATGACTTATTAGAAGACAATGGAGGAGAGGAAGGGAGACTCAGGCTTTATCCCAGGAGCTGCCATTTGTGGAAATAATGTTGGTGTGTGCGAAATGAATGTCACTGTATCTGCTTCCTTTACCTAAAATAAAACTGTCTCCACTTGCTCACTGGTGGCAGGGTAGGATGGGTCGTCTTCATTTGCGTTGCTTTTATGGAGTACTTCAGCGGCCTTTGCCCCTGAGGAGGAGGAGAGACACCTCCTGGGAGTAAATTCCCCTTGGCTTTTTTACCTTTCCGTCTTTTCAATGTCAGGAGACCATTTTCCTGATTAAATGTCCAGATAAAGAACAATGGAGAAGCCGCGAAACCAGGGAGTTCAGATACGATGACTGGAATTAAGGAAGCCACACCGATATTTACCCTGCGTGGCTTTTTCTAATGCGCTGTCTCCCCCTCAGATGTGGCTGTCGGTGCACCAAAGGAGGACGACTTTGCTGGTGCAGTCTACATCTATCATGGCGATGCCAATGGGATTGTCCCCCAGTACTCAATGGTAAGTGTGTGTGTGTGTGTGTGTGTGTGTGTGTGCTTTGATGGAGGCTCCATTGTGCACCACGCTAAGGGAATGTAGATGAAAACGCTGTTTCCGTTCATACTTTTCACTAGTGAAAGAGACGATCAATCCGTATGGTGGTTTGTTAAATCCAGAAGAAATTGTTATAGACCCCCCCCCCCCCGCATTTAAGGCCTCTGGACTATCCCCAGGGACATGTTTTAAAGTATAACCTGGGAATACAGGGCTCCACAGAGGAGTGGTCATGGGCCATTGTCAGACTTGGCTTTAGGAGCTAATCAAGGCTCTGGTTTCACATCCCGGACCTGGGAATGTGGAAGTGGCGAGTTCTCTATTTTTGTCCTGTAAGCATAGTGCTCACTCAGTCTTGCTGATGGTGTCAAGCCCAACCCATGGGAAAAAGGAAGCCGGGCTGTCAGCAGAAGCACGGCCAGGATGTTAGCGATGTGTGTAGCACGGTTTGTGTCTTTCTCCCAGCGGGTCAGTGACAGAAAGGCGCATACCAGGAACTCTGCAGTCAGTTACTGGAGCGCTTGCCTGGCATGCACTGCATGAGGCCCTGGGTTCCACAAAACAGGCATGGGGTCACATGTCAGCTATCCTGGGACTCAGGGGTTTAAGGTCATCCTCAGCTACATAGGTAGTTTGAGGTCAGCCTGGGCTATAGTCCTCACCGCTGTTAACCTAACCAAACCAAACCAAACCAAACCCTTTTAGTCAGGAAATGTTTGTAATTGACCGCTTGTGTGTTGAGCACTACCTGTTCATACCTGTACATATACATTTGTGCCTGTATGGCTGAGCTATCTCTCCAGTCCAGGGTTTGTAGTTTAAGAGGCATGTGTAAATGGGGTACAGTTTCCCTCGCTCTTATTTAGTTAATTATTTATGTGTGTATGTATACATGTGTGAATGTGTGTGTGTGTGAATACGTGTGTGTGTGTGTGTGTGTAGTGTATCTGTGTGGTTCATGTACACATGTGTGGTACAGAGCCCCACAGGAGGATGTCAGGTGTCTTCTGCTTTCATTCATTCCCTTGAGACAGGGATTCTCACTGCGCCTGGAGCTGGGCTGGTACCCAGGGGCCCAGGGGGCCCAGCCATCTTTCTGTTTCCATCCCCACACATGCTTGTGGGGATTTGACCACTGAGCCCAGCCCCAGAGACACAACTTCTTCATTTATAATGGTCCCTGCAGGAAATGTGCATTAGTAGGCAGAGCTTCTCCCTCTTTCCTCTCTCTCTCCACCCCTGCTTGACCCTGGCTGAGGGAAAGGTACTCAGGGAGAGGCTTGGAGAGGAGGAGGAGTTATTTCCGGAGAGGAGAGCCATTATTTCTTTACCCCGAATCCCCATGACAGCTGTGTGAGATGGATCCACTTATTAACCACTGACCCCTATGAGCCCCACATAGGGTATGGAATTTTCCCTGGGTAGTCAGTCGCCTTTCACAACTGCATTTTGGACAAAGGCCCACCCAGGGAAGTTCTACTGGAAAACTTACAGCCGTGGAGAACCATGTTGTCCTGGAGTGCACACACTGTCAAGGGGCACCCATGCACAGACTGTTCTCTCGTCAATAGATGTGAGCCACCATGGAAACAACACACTTTAGGTGATTCAGTCAACTTCATTAGAAGCTTGAAACACAGAGCAGGGCCTGCAAGGTTTGGATCAGGGATGCGGAGTCGTCTAAGGAGTTTATCCTCAGGCAGGGTCTGAGGGTCATCCTCCACACATCCTCCTGGAAGCTCGTGCCTGGAACTCGGAAGCTAATCACACAAGGAGGCCACCTGTGGGAGCCCCCGCCTCCCGGCTCCCCTTCGACTCTGCAGTGTTTTGTTTGGTGGTTGCTGGGCGGGATCCTTGCAGAAAGCTGCCGTGCACATTTGTGGTTAGTGTGGAGCATCTAGTAGGAAGCCGAGATTGGCAGCTGGGAGCTATGGTGCTTTTGTTAAGCACGAACCCTGGCTTACTTAACTTTCCCAAAGAGAAGTGGTTTGGGGCTCTTTAAATAAAAGGGTAGAGAGAGAAAGAAAGGGAGAGACTGCTATGATTATACTTTTCCAAATTGCTAATATGTATACGATAAGGCTGATGATTTAAAAGGGAAAAATAATCCACTAATGACAGGTCCTCCTGGGCCTGGATCCTGGACAGAGACGGCATTGTGTTCAAGAACTGGAAGAAGAAATCAGAAACGAATCTAGGCAATGAGATCGCTTTCCTTTGGCCCCAACTCATATTATTTCTGCCGGAGAAATAGTGAGATCAGAGCCTGGGCTCCTCCCACATTGCTCTCTAACTCATACCGACGCCTCCTTTTACCATGAAAAGTGTTGATTTTAAGATTCTTAGATGCCTTTCTCAGTCAAGAGCCCCCTGGGCATGTCGTAGCGGCCCCTGTGATCTTTCCCTTGCCCTAACAGACGCCGTGTATAAACCTGGTCAAGCGGAGGTTTCCCACAGTCACTGGTTTCCATTTAGGGTTATTAGCACCGTGCAGACTTATCTTCCCGGCTTTATAGCATAATGGCCTGCAGATGTCAGTGGATAACTTAAGTCTGCATCGCCACCCCCCAGATGGACCACCCTTCACTCTCCCCCAGTCCCAGCCACAGCATACCCAAGAAACGAAAGCCCTGTAGCAAGCTGCTTCTAATGTTCTCAGCTTCCAGAGCCAAGATGGGCCACTTCAAAGTGCACCTTTTACTCAGATACACACACAAGTTTGTTTAGATGGAGCCATGTGGGGTGTGTGGCTGAGCCTGTTAACAAGCCATGTTTCTGCAGGAGTGCCTACAGGGTTCAGCTGCCCTTTGATGCTCACACATTTCCTGTCGGATGCCTCAGCAGAAGATGGCAAGCAGCCTTTTTCGGTCGTCTCTGGGGCGATCCTCATAGGTGGCAGCTGCTGAGGGCAGGGGACACCCTATCTCCATCAGCAGAGCTGTGGACACTCCCCTGCCTCCATCAGGGTGTCCGTACAGTATGACTTAGTAAAGACAGGCATGGAGAAAGTAGGGCAGAGTGAGCCCCGGGACGCGTGTGAAGCCGGCTCTGTTGTGGGCTTCACCACGCCATGTGGAAATGAGATGTGTCCCTGGTTATCCATGAAGAGACGGAATGTTATGGTTATCAGGGTATCAACTTGATACAAGCCCAGAGTCGCCTGGGAGGAGGGAGGGAAACTCAGCGGAAGAATTGTCTGCCTTAGATTGACCTACGGGCATGTCTGTATGGCCTTTTCTATGCTAGTTCATGTAGGAGGGCCTAGCCCACTGTGGGTGGTGCCGTCCCTAGCAGCTGGGTGTGGTCTGTATAAGAAAGATGGCTAAACTAGTCGAAACGAGCAAGCCAATGAGTGGTGACCCTCCATGGTTTCTACTTCAAGCTTCTGCCTTGAGTTCCCTTGACAATGGACTGAAACCTGTAGATGGAAATACACCCTTTCCTCCCCAGGTAGCTTTTGGTCAGGATTTTTGTCACAGCAGCAAAAAGCTAACTAGGACACTGTGAATGGAAGGAAGTAAGAACTGATCAGATCCCAGAAAATGAGACTTTCTCATCATGAATGGATGGTGCTGGTGGGAACTGTGCCTCACAAGTGTGAATGGATGGCGCTGGTGGGAACTGCGCCTCACAAGTATGAGTGGATGGCTTTTGTGGGGCCTGTGCTGTACAATGTGAATGGATTACTTTGGTGGGACCAGGGATGGCTGTGTTACAAGTGTTTACTTGTTAAAAGTATCTTCTTACTTTTGTTTTTAATTACCTGCATTTTTGTGTGTCTGTGTGTGGGTATGTGGATGCAGTGACTGAGGAGGCCAGAAGAGGGCGCCAGATCACCTGGAGCTGAATTACAGGCAGTTGCCTCTAAATGTGGGTGCTGGAATCTAAAGTGGGAGCCTCTGCAAGAGCAGGGTGGGCTAACCATTGGGCAATCTGTCTAATCCTGTGTTGTAGTTTAAAAGATGCATATGTGTATGTGGACATATGTGTATGACATGTGCATGTGGACATGTGTGTGTGTGAAGTATGCATATGGACATGTGTGTGTGAAGTGCACAAGTGGACATGAGTGTGTGAAGTGTGCAAGTGGACATGTGTGTGCGAAGTGTACATATGGACATGTTGTGTGTGTGAAGTGTCCACAACCTTTGACTCAGGGTCTTTCACAACCCTGAATTCACCAGTTAAGGTAGACTAACCCCCACCAACGAGCCCCAGGGACCCTCCTGTCTCTGGCTCCCCAGCGCTGGGATTCCATGCACATCTTACCATGTCTGGCTTTTATGTAGATGCTGGAGACCGATCTCAGGTTCTGTGCTTGTAACTGAAGCACTTTACAGGTACCCCAGACCCTGTTCTAAGATGGGTCTGTCTGTTGTGATGAAGTTAATGGTGTATGTAAATTTGATATGGTAGTAGGATTGAGTGTGACACGTGGGTTGAGGAAAGCCTTTTAGGAGGAATGGCTGATCCCCGCCCTGTAATTTATAGCAGGGCTCAGCTCCACACAGTTGTAGATTTACTAGGTCAGACTGCTGAGTAATTTCTATGCAGCTGAGGAGTCTGTGGACCTCCTGGTGGGCTGGCTGGGATGGGGGTTTCCACATGGCTATCCTTCCAGCTCGATATGTTTGTGACAGGTTAGCTGTCCGTCTTAGGGGAGGCACAAGAAATAGTTAGTACCAGGTAAGTACTGGGCTAGGAAGTAAGGATGCTGCCAGTGTTTCAACCAGTGTTGCCTAGATCAAATGAAAGGAGAAGTCAGGGGAGAGAGACTCCTCGGTCAATGAAGTGCCTGCCCACAGGCACAGGGGCCTGAGGTGACCCTTAGCACCTGTTTAAAAAAAAAAAAAAACACAAAACCCAGATGTGATGGCATGCAATTATGATCCCAGCACTAGTGAAACAGAGAGAATGGGCTCTCTGGGCTCGCTGGCCAGCCAGCCCAAACTAACTGGGTAAGTTTCATACCACTGAGAGATCCTGCCTTAAAAAAGCAAAACAAAAACAGTAGACAGCAACTGAGGATCGACACAAGGTTGGCTCCTAACCTCCACACATATGTGTGCCCACGTGTACACACACAAAAGGAAAAAAACCCAGCCTCTACTTGTCTTGAATTTCAACCTATCAGAACCGTTCAATGAGCCAGTGAGAGGGTTCTGTGGGTAAAAGCGTTTGCTGCCGAGCCTGGCGATCTAAGGGTTAATTCCCAGGACCTGTGAAAGGAGATAACCAATTCTGTCAGGTTCTCCTCTGACCTCCCTGTGCACACTGTGGCCTAAGCAACCCCTGCACACAAAGAAATAAACGTTTAAAAAAAAAAAAAATGTTTAAAACCACGTTTTAGTAGATGCCACCAAACTCAAGCAAATTTTTAAATGATGACATCTGGCCAAGGCAAGCAATAATAAGGAAGTGTGTGACCTACTACAGACCCTCTGGCCATATTCTCCCAACCTTTTCTTTTCTTTCAACAGCTTGAGACCCAGTGCCCCCGAGGAAGCTGGGTTCAAACTGTCCCAGGTCCTCACGTGACTCTCATCTTCTTTTGTTTCAGAAACTGTCTGGGAGGAAGATAAACCCGATCCTGCGGATGTTTGGGCAGTCCATATCAGGAGGCATTGACATGGATGGAAATGGCTATCCTGGTAAGCTGTCTTTCTCAGAGCATGCTGGATAAAGAAGATAGGTGTGTGAGATAAGATAGATTTTTCTTTCTTTTTTTTGGTTCAGTTAACGGTTGTTATTCACCCAGTAGAATTGGGGACTTTTGCCTGGTGGCTGACTTTTAAAGGATGCAGCTCAGATAAGAAACTCCTTTATACAAAGTTGCTAAGCAAACCCAAATTCTTGGCAGAAGATCTGTTTTCGAATCACTAAAAAATATTATCCATCAAATACAGATTACAATAAATTACATGCTAATAAAATAATATTTGCTTAAATAATTAATGATATGTAGTGTATATGCTAGTAACTACAGAAAAATACACACAAACAAGATGAAATTAATTTTAATGAAGTATAATCCAATATAGTCAACATTTTATCATTTTACCGTGTAACTAATATAAAAGTTATTAATGAGTTAATTTTTTTTTTAAAAAAAAATTAGGTCTTCAGAATCTGCTTTGTGTTTTACACACCCAGATCCATTTCCAGATCTCCATAGCCAGATGTGCTTGGCTGCCACTTAGGACAATGTGGCTGTAATTCTCCTAAGTCATTACACAGCCAGACAGCAGCAGTAGGAAGGTCCCCTGACCACAAGGCTGGACCTGTGTCACTGTGGCGCCATGCCAAAGGGCAGCTGGTGATGGTTTCTATAAGGTTCTGAGGCTGTGACTTCTTGTTTTCAGATGTCACCATCGGAGCCTTCCTGTCTGACAGCGTGGTCCTCCTCAGGTGAGATGCCTGGCTCTCACGTTTTTTCATGAGTGACAGAAGGGCTTTTGTGGAGGAGGCATGGGGTGTGATCGAAGGTGCTGTGGGCCTAGAATAAATTCTGCCCTTTTCCTCTCAGTCCTATTGCTCTGTTCCACAGAGTTCCACAGAGTTCAGTGTCTGGGCCTTGACTAGGTTATAGGGAGTAGAGAGCTCTCTGGGGTGTCTTGACAGGGTTAGGGCTAACCCAACCCTAATCCAAGTGCTGCTTGTCTTTGGTCATGACCATCCCCTTCTGTTGATGTGCAATATAAACATTCCTGTTCCCTATAGGCGCCGGGCATTCAGAGGGCTGGGAAACCCTGTCCAGCCTAGGTTTTGTTTTGTTTTTTAATCTTTATAACCAGTATCTTCACTGCTGTTATCCCCCAGCCCCAGGAGCTTCTTGTCCCATCACTAGTGGCAACAGAGGTGAGGGACCCGAACTTAGGCCCAGTGCTTGCTGAAGCATCTCCACCCATGCACTGTCTTTAAGTATTTCTGTCTGTGTGAGTCAGAGGAAGCAGGATTGCACTCTGGAGTGGGAGCCAACAGTTTTGTTAATAACTCAATGGCAGAAAGTTCTAAAGTGGACAGACCGCCATGGGCTTACAGCTCGAAGGGATCCCAGAGGCCATGTAGTCCTACATCTCAGGCGCTTCACATTTAGCCTGGCCTTTTCCCAGCCTCCCCGGACGGACACAGTCTCTTCTTGAATGAGGTACCCCCACAGGCAGGGGCTTAGTGACTTAGAGAGAACCAGCTGGCCCATAGATAACTCTAAATTTTGCATTGTCAAAGTAGCAGAATAACCTTGAAGTTGGGTGTGACCTAGAGGGCCGGTGGTCTGAGTTCAAACCCAGCCTCTGCCCTTCCAGATGAGCTTTCTAGGCCTTGACACTAGTCCCGTCCCGTCTGGTCCCAGGATTTAACTCTGTGAAAGACAACCCCAGAAGCTGTGGGTTGATATATGTAAATATGAGACAGTCTGTGTAAGGATGAGCAGGTCTTACGCAGATCTGGTTAAATTTGACTTCCTGAAATTCTGTTTCCTGCTCTTGTATCATCTACCCAGAAGCTCTGCAATATCTGAAGATAGCAATGTGTACTCAGATACTAATATCAAATTTCCCCGGCTCCCCATGTGGTTGGTGTAACAAGAGGGTCTTTGTCCCAGCTGATCCTGCTGCCCTTCAGCCCCAAATGAACACACAGATGCTGTATTAATTATAAAACTGTTGGCTGATGGTTGGTTTAGGCCTCTTATTGGCTAGCTCTGTCTTAATTATTAACCCATTTCTATTTATCTATGTATTTCCACGTGGTCTTATCTTACCAGAGAAGGGTCTGGACCTCTAACTCCTTTGGTGGCTCACATGGCGACTGTTTCTGGCTGGCCCTCCCTGCCTACCTTTCCCAGAATTCTCCTCGTCCTAATCCCGCCTCTCTTCCTGCCTCATTGGCCAGACCGTGTTTTATTCATCAACCAATGAGGGAAACACATATACACAGAAAGCCGTCCCCCACCAGCTGGATTTCCACTCTTTTCCTCCCTTTTCTCTAGAGGTCGGCTTCCCTCCTGGATGAGACCATGATGAAGGTCTGTGACATGGGGAGCCACAGCAGCACAATGCCTCATATGATCCCACAGCTCATCGTGGGTCTTTCTTAGATGAAACATGTCCCCTGGCTTCTTACAGTGGCCGTAGGCTGTCTTGATAACCAGAGCACCCATTTGTCTGTCATACAATATTTTCTTTTGTTGTTGTTGTTGATAATACTGTTTTAAATTTAAATTCGAAACAAACTTGTTTTACATGTCAACCCCATTCCCTCACCCTCCCCTCCTTTTCCATCCACTCACCCCCAGCCCCACAACCCCCATCCCATCCCCTTTCTGCTCCCCAGGGAGGGTGAGGTCTTCCATGGGGAGTCATTAAAGTCTGTCACATCATTTGGGGCAGGGCCTAGGCCCTCCCCCATGTGTCTAGGCTGAGAGGGTAGCCCTCTATGTGGAATGTGTTCCCAAAGTCCATTTGTATACTAGGGATAAATACTGACCCATTACCAGAGGCCCCATAGACTGCCCAGTCCTCCTAACTGACGCCCATGTTCAGGGGGTCTGGGTTGGTCCTATGCTGGTTTCCCAGCTATCAGACCGGGGTCCATGAGCTCCTCCTTGTTCAGATCAGCTGTTTCTGTGGGTTTCTCATACAATATATTCTAATCACAGTTTCTCCTTTCCCATCTCCTTCCAGATCCTCTCCCTATCATCTCACCCCACGCCTTCTTTCTCTCTCTTTTTGTTTAGAAAACAGGAAAATTAAAACAAAACAAAATAATAACAACAAACCAGACTCCAGTTTTTTTTTTAAAAAAAAGGAAGAAAGAAAAAAAAACCCACAAGAAACACATACACAAAATCCATAAAAACACAAATTTGGAAACCATAATAATTAAGTAAAAGATAACAAAATCAAGTTCAAACAAAGCATTCAAAAAAAAAAAAAAAAAAAACCCCAACAACAACAACAAAACCTTGTAAATGCCATTGAGTCTGTTTCGTGTTGGCCATCTGCTGCTGGGCGTGGGGCCTGCCCTAAGTGTGGCTTATATACATAGAGAGACCCCACTGGGGAAAACAAAATTTTCCTTTTCAAGCAGTTGTCGATTGGAGACAGCTTCTGAGTCAGGGATGGGAGGTCATGTCCACTTCCCCTCTCGGTGCCAGGACACAATCTGTCTTTCCCCAGGAGCCACAAACCCAAAATAGCTCCTCCTTGTCTCTCTTCTCCATGGCATGGAGTGGAAGATCAAATATGATGGCAGGAAGAAAGCACATGGGTGAGGCAGTGAGCAGCCCCACATCCACACAGAGTCTGGAAGGCACTGGAAGAACAGTGAGCCCGAGTGAGTCCTGAGATGCGCAGCAATGGCGCCATCACAGGAGGCCACGCCATCATTCTCTCTGTTTAGATGCCGTTTATATACATCGTCCTGTTGAGATGGAGCTGTGTATGTGTGAGATGCTAGAGACCCAGCCAGTGTTAGAACACATCCCATACACCAAGCACTAGGCGAATATTTTATGTACATTCCTGTGCTTTGCCACAGGTGTGTGCCCAGAGGGATGCTCCATTGGGCGGTTTCATCATGGCTGAGTATATGCTCATGTAGGCCGAGGCACCACTACTCGGTACCCTCTGTGGGACTGCCATCACACATGTGGTCTGCCTTTGGCATTCATGCAGTGCATGACTGTATTCATCGTGTGTTTTCTTTCCTTCCTGCCTTATCGCTTGTGTACAGCACAATGTACCGGTTCAAGCATATGGCTCAGAATTTTGACTGGGGCACATACCCATGCAAACTACACCACCGTCAAGACAGAGTTCATTCCCGTCACCCTGCAAGCTTTCTTGGGCTGTTAAAAATGATTTGTTATTGTTGCCGTGTTGGGGAGGTGCACATTAAGATGACATTGTGTGATGGGCTCTGTGATTCTACCTTTATGTGTGTTCTGAGGGTCAAACTCAAGTCCCCGGGCTTGCATGACAAGGATTCTGTCCACCAGCTCCTCTTAGGTTCTAATTGCATCTTTCTCTCGGTAGGCATCTACTGTTGTGAAATGTCACCATAGGTCATTTTTGCCTGTTCTAGGGTTCCATTAGAATGGAAGCATACCATATGTATTCTAACCCCTGAGCTCGTCCACTCATCCCGATGTTACTGAGATCTACCCACGTTTCGTATTCCCACTGTGGACCGATTTCCTGTCCTCTGAACAACCCATGGCATGTGTATTACCATTATCCTCCTTACGCGTGAAGAACTAGGAGTTTTGTGGTGGTGAACGTGGTTGCCAGCTTGACACACCCGGAAAAACAGAGCCACGGTGGAAGAATTGCTTCCATCAGACTGGTCTTTGCGATTGCCAGTTGATGCTGAAGGGCCCAGCCCTCTGGGCAGCGCCTCGCTGTGTAAGAAAGCAAGCTGAGCAAGCCCGCCCGAGGGGGAGGCTGATAAGCACTGAGCCTCCATGGTTCCTGCTTCAAGCTCCTGTTTTGGCTTTCCTTGATAGCGGACCATGAGTTGTTAGCCGGTCTACACCTCTTCTTCCTCGTGTTGCCTTTGGTCATGGTGTTCATCACAGCAGCAGGAAAGCCAATTAGGACGGGCTTTAAAAAATCCCAGATGCTGTAAGTTAGTACAAAGCAGGACTACACTGTCAGGTGGCGTCACTCTTAGCAGAGGACCGGGTGGGCTGCCCTGGCTGAGCTGACACCAAAGGCCCGTGGTTGTACTGGCGGATGCAGCTTTTGGGTGTTGTCGTAGCAGAAGCCACGGATGGGGCTGTGGGTGGGTAGCGGGGGAAGGGGGTAGGAAGACAGTGGCTCTTGACGCCTTTCCCGAGTCGGGGCTGCAAAGGGACACAGGTGCTTCAGACACAGTGTTTGAGGGGCGTTAGCTAGAGCTTGAGTTCCTTTTGACTTTGGGTGAGACTGACAGAGAAATGTGTACGCCCACGGACAGCTGCTGTGTGCGCTATAGTTAAAGGCACTTGGAGAGGCACCTTGGGGTTTGGGGAAGCTCTGGGCTAAGCTAAGACTGGGCATCTTCACGGATGAACTGGGACAGAGGAAGGTCCAGGGCTGGCTTTGTTAGCCAGCCTTTACTTGTCCCTGCCCTGCCAGGAGAACCAGGACACCATTATGTGAAATCTGTACACACACCATCCTCTTGTTTCCCTGGAAGTGTAACGCGGAGATTTCATCTCTGCCATAGAAAAGCACTCCAGTTACTTGCTTCTTTGAAGTCTTAAAAACGCTTCTGGTTTTGTCCCCTTGTGCCCACTTTGCGGCGGTTATCTAGGGGTTGGTGGGTGGGAGGTGGGCTCCGCCCTAGGAGTGTGAGCTGGGGCCCCAGCTCTGTCCTCAGGAAGTTTGCTCAGGAGGGCAGGTCCCCTGTTCTGGTGATAGGAGCCTAGTGCTATGCCAGGACAGGCAGAGGAAGTGACCAGAGAAGCTTATGAAAGAGTGCTTCCCCCATCCAAAAACAATACTTGGAGTGGAAATGGGGGGAAAAATGCTGAGGGAACTGATGTAACGGGCGGGCGGGTGTTGGAAGGGGATGAACCCGGGAGGGCCTCTGCCGGCGCTTTCAAAGGGTTCCGCTTTGCAAACTTGCCAGAGTTAGTTCTGTCTGGAGTGCTCCTGTCTCCTGCTCACCTCACCCGGCTCAGCAGAGCTCTCTGGGAGGAGACTCTCTGGTGGGCTGATAAGGGATGGACTGGCCTTTCATCTTCTCTTCCGTAGCGGGGCTGGTCAGGGGTTGCCAGGGTGTAATGGTAGACAGGAGCCCAGCTCTCTCTGAAGCTGCGGTTATTGCTGCCACCCCCATCCCAGGGGTGAGCTCCAGGTTGTGGGTCAGGGTAGCTGTTTTCTTTAGGAAGGCAGTAAAGAATCAGACCTGAGGGCACACTGGCAGTGGGTGGGGGTGGGTAGGCGTGGAGTTCTACTTTTTATTGCTATAAAAGCCTTGGGGGGGGCTGACTAAGAAGTAAAGAAAGGTTAGTGTTTGCTCAGTTTGGGGACACATCCATCATGGGGGGGAGGGGGCTCATGGTGACAAGACTTGCTTGAGGAAGGTCACATTGAGTCTGTGTCCCGGAAGCAGAGAGACCTGGATGCTGGTACTCAGCTCCCTTTATCCTTTTTATTCACAGACCCCCACCCCCAGCCTATGGGATGGTGCTTTCCTCATCCAGAGTGGGTCTTCACTCCCCACTTAACCTAATCGAGAACCCCCCCCCCACACACACACACATGTGTTCAAGATGATTCCAGATCCTGTCAAGTTGACAAAGTGAACCATGATGCCATTCTACACCAGCTAGGGTGAAAGGATCTCTCTAAGTCACTCTAGCTCCTTCTAAGGGTGAAACCAGAAGGAAAGTGACAGACCAGGGTATTGGTTTCTCTCAGGCAGTATTGTCTGTCTCCTTTTGCCCCAGAGCCAGATTTGCTCAGAGTTCCCCAGTCCCCTGCCCTGTCACAGTCGCTCTTCTGTTGACCTTCCTGTCCCTGTAAAGGCAGCAGCAGTAGAGTTATTATGCCGCGGGCACGCGCTTGTGTGTGTGTGTGTGTGTGTGTGTGTGTGTGTGTGTGTGTGTGTGTGTGTGTGTGTCCTCGCTGTGCTATACACCCAGGTTTTTCTTTGACGTTCTCTTGTCTTGGGTTTTTTGGTCATGTGTTCCGTCGTCTGGTCACCCTGGTGCACTTTGAACCTTAGACACACACGTGACAATGTTATTCCCAGTTGATGCCCCTTAACCTTGAGTCACTCCACAAGCACAAAGGCCAGGGACCCTGAGGGGGAAAGGTTCCCTGTGAGGTCAGGGCGGGGGACGGAGTGCAGGGAGGTCAAGCCACAGCTGAGGTGCCTCCCCTGAGCAGATGTGACCATGGGAAAGGGATGCCTGTTTCCTTCTCAGCTTCTGTCTCCTTGCCCCAGGGATGCTGTCCACCCATCAGGCGCTGGGGGATGGTCATGTCAGGGAGAGGGCTGTGCTTATTGGATTTTGCTTCCTCCTAAGGCTAGCCAGGTTAATTCCTTGAAGTGTTTTGCTGGGACTCCATCAATCAATCCTTTTTAGACCATATTTAATATTCAATGACTTGATAGCCATAAATGAAAGAGGATATTTGACCAACTCACGCTGACAGGGGAACCACTCAGTATGTATCTCATGGTCTCTCTGTCTGTCTGTCTGTATGTCTCTCTTTCCCTTTTCCCTCCTCCCCTCCTTTTGGCATTTTAAACCAAACTCTCACTCTGTGACCCAGGCTGGCCTAGAACTCTGGGAAATCCTGATGCTCTCACTCAGATGCTGGGATTCCAGGAGTGACCTGTCACAGGCAGTTTTGCATCTAACTCCTGAACCATGCCTTATGCTATAAAGACTTCTCCTCAGTGAAGTCATGCCTCTCCAGTGAAATGGAAATCGGAACTTCTTGGGTGAAATTTTAAATAATCACCCAGCATCTGGTGGTTGATTTACGGCTTTAGCCAGCTGTGTTTCATTAACAGTTAACTTGCCTTTGTTACCGGGAAGCAAACCATTAGTATTTTAGGGAACGTGCTACTTTTAAAACCAGAAAGAAGAAAAAAAAAATACTTACAGTGCACACTAGCCTTTCTCTCTTGGGACATTTCATTCTTTAATTAAATGCTGGCTGAAGTCCCGGGATCTATTTTGCCTGCATAGTTCTTGTTTGGTTCTGAGAGCCTCTACTTAAACGGGTTCCCTCTCCCTCCTTGTCATGCAGGGCCAGGCCGGTCATCACTGTGGATGTCTCCATCTTCCTCCCAGGCTCTATCAACATCACAGCACCTCAGTGTCATGACGGACAGCAGCCCGTGAACTGCCTAAATGTCACCGTGTGTTTCCGGTTCCATGGAAAGCATGTGCCAGAAGAAATAGGTAATGGGTCACAGCATCAGGGCTCGCGGTACCTGTCTTAACTGGTGCAAGGCCACAAGATTGGGATGTTCCAAGTTCCCTCTCACTTGACACCCTGTGGCTTTGCAGGCAGGGTGCAGTGGGCCGAACATTCCCTTTCTCTGAGACTACTCTCTCCTGCTCATTTACATATTTCAAACTTCACACACCCTCCAGCTCCAGCACAAATGACAGTGAGCCTCAAGCCTCCTTCCCCGCAAATGTATGAGGGCTAGACTGGAACCCACTGGGTGGGGCGGAGTGTGGCTGGTGAGGTGGAGTGCCTAAGCCTTGCCCATACGGAACACTTTGTGCAGTTTGAGAAACAACGAGAATGTGGAGGCTCCCCCATCCCACCCTATAAGCTTTCAGCATAACTAGGCAGTGGGGCTGCCCCACACAACAGCTGGCATCGGCTCAGGACGTGAAGGGTTCCAGCGCCTGTGTGTTTAAGAGCATGGTCCTACTCTGGCATCTCAGAGTTAGGAAAAGACAGCTCATGCTCAGTTAGCATTCTTGTACAGTGCAGAGATGGTGTGCTGCCCACATGGGACCGGGCCCTCCCAAATCAACTGTCAGTCAAGAACACTATTAGGCAATGTGATCTGGACCATGCCTCAGTTGAGACTCCCTCTGATGAGTCTAGGCAGTGTCAAGTTGAGAGCTGTAGCTAATTCTGGCAACATCCCTGTGAAGTTTGCATGCAATTTAAGTGTGAAAAGCACGACTCTGGAGTTCACACGTGTGCACATCCCCCCAAACCTGCAAAAAAAAAAAAAAAAAAAAAAAAAAGTACTCACATGTGTAGTTCACTCAGCTGGACTTTAAATATTCTATCTTATCCAACAACATGCCAAACCCTGCTATCTCAATGGCAAATTATCGTGATCAACTGTATTAAGCAAAAGCTACAGTTAAACCCCGTACTTATTTATAAAGATTTTTTTCTTGCAAGAGAGCTTAGAAATTGCCACATTAAACATAGCCATATGATAAACTTGGGAGGGGAGAGTCATGCGATTTTTATACACAGTGCATAGAGAAAAGTAATATTCTTTAAGTTCACACAGCCGTTGGGGCTGGGTGCTTAGTCTGATATGACTGTAGTTGCATCCTCAGCCACCGCTTTTCCTATTATCTTTATTGTTGGAGTCATCAGAGTCTGATAAGAAAAGAAAAAAAATAAAGGTTTCTGGTCCTCCTGGAAGTAAACACTGCGGACCGTTAACGAACATATTTCACAGGATGCTGCAAGCAATTATTATTTTGGAGCTGGAGATCAAACCCTGGCCCTCTTGACTGATAAATACATGCCCACCACCACAGACCTGTACCCCCAACCCTGGATGTTAGTTCTGACGCACATAAAAGTGTTTTGAGCTCTAAAAACCGAGCAAGTAGCACTTATGCTGTACTCATTTGCTAGCTGTTGATTGTGTGTCTGCCTGTGCTAGCGATGCACTAGACATAGCTCTGCACAGCGCCCTGCTAGAGGGCTCCCCCTGACATGCCTTCGTATTCTTGATCCGTGTCCTCGTGAACATGAACGTAACGTGGTATAATGGGAACGAGGTTAAGCCGAAGCGGGGCCCACGACCTAAGACTCCAGGGCTCGGCGAGGGATGGCATGGGGAAGCTGTGATTTCTCAGCCCTTTCTGGGGCCACAGTCAAGCAGTAGCTTTTCAGGGACCACTAGGAGGAAATCCACGAGGCTCTGTCTGAGCTGGACCATGGCCCTTGAAGGAGTAAAATGTTCCGGAAAGGGCAGGCTGTTGACCCATGTGCATTTCACACGCAGTGTTGAGTCACCTGGTTAGTGGTCGGTGGAGGGTAGGTTAGCCCCCCCCCCCCAGCTTCCTGCTCAGGTTGCTTCCTTAGCCTCTGTCATGTGGTTCGTTGAAGTCAAATGTCCTTGTATACTCCGAGGCTCTCTAGAGGTCTTTACCATTTAACACTCAGGTTGGGGCTCGGGTTATAGCTGAGTCATGGAGAAAGTGCTTAACACGCATGTGTGGGGCCCAGAGTTCAAGCACACATGTGTGTGCACACGTGTGTGCACATGTGGAGGAACTAAGAGTCAGGTGTGAACTAGGAGATGCTGGCGTGGACAGGGCAGTAAGGAAGAACGCCCTCGTTTGTCTGTTGTAAGATGTTATCCTTCAAGAACAACAGCCACTGTCCCCTCTGAACACTGCGGCCACTCACGGGGTTGGTGACTGTCTCCTCATAGAAGGCAGAGGGGGAGTATCATTGGAGTCACCTGCAATTCCAGCCGCTCCCTCCCACAGCTGCCAGCCATCTGTATGTGGCTCGGCCCTAACTGCACACAGCCTCTGGTCTTGGTGCATGCTGGAGTATGTAGGCTGTGGAAGGTTAACCAGGAGGAGAGGTTTCTACTTACGCAGCCACGGGGATGTTGTCATCTAAGCTGGGGTGAGACTTTCCATATTGGGGTTCCCCACATTCCTTCAAGAGCCCTTCATCCATGCTCTGCACATGTTGGATTTTAGGGGATCACAGCTTGTTTTAAAAGACTTTGCTTGGTCCCTAGTGCACTCCGAGGAGGAGATAGACTCTTGCTTACCTCTCTTCCGGGAAGGGGTTCCTGAAGTACCATTCCATTCTTTTCCTGTCGTTTTCAAAAATGTGAAGCACACCTCAGTCTGCAGTGGGGACAGAAATGTAGCACTCCACCAGAGAGCGCCTCCCTCAGGGAGGCTGAGGAAAAGGGAGCCTGCTGGAGATGGGTAGGCCTGGGCCCTTGGGGGCTCCCCCTTTGAAATCTCTACAGGAGACTCTTGACTCCACAGAGCTAGCAAGACCAGGTCTCTAGGCTTCAGGTAGAGGAAGGTTAAGGATATCTCAAGAGCACAGGCCCCTCCATCTAGGGCGGTCTCCTAGGATTCTCCGCCCAGGGTCCTCTCCTGGGCTCCTCTGCCCAGGGTTATCTCCTAGGCCTCTGCATTAGGAAGGCAGAGCCTCTGTATTACTTTCCCACTCCCGTTTCCGCAGTGGAACCCTAGGCATCCCCGGTTTTGTCTATGGGGCTGCCTGGTGATGCCTGTCTGAAAAGGTCTTCTGCAGGCTCAAGGTCTCTGGATCTTAGGCTGTTTACCAAGAGATGGCTGCATCTGGGAGACCCCACCTGGGCACCCAAATTACAACCAGGGCCACTACATTCTGTGGTACCTACCCAGTGGGTCTTCAACCATGTGAGTTGTTTGGAGGACCTGTTTGGGAGCCAGAGCAGCTGTGGCTTGTCCCTTGGGCTGCTACTGCTCGTCCTTGGGACCTAGTGCAGTCGGGCATGTACATCAGCTGTCTCTTCAACCCTGCTTTAGCAATGGGAAATTTCAGCTCTCATTTGGTCCCAGGAGCATGAGGGTCAGCATCTCAGCCTCTAGAGGGGCAGCTGTGACTTCTAGGAATACTATGGGAAGCCGGGTGAATCTGCACTGGTCCCTGCAATAGGGAAGGTCCAGTCAGGAAATAGATTACCACACCTTACGTTTGAACAGGTTTTGACTCTTGGAAGTGACTGAGCAGACGAGGGAGGATGCAGTAGTAACTGCAGGAGATCGCTACCAAGGCTGGGACTGTGCCAGTAGCTGTCGCCCTCAGCTCTTTGGGATCTTGTTAGCCCTATGCATATTCAAATTGATTGAGAGGTCTGAGGTTGGAACCCAGCAACCTGTGTTTTACCAGTTTGCAGGTGGCCAGTCGGGGTTAGAGTTTGTTAATTCCTTCCTTGGAGTTATCTGAACCTGCAAGTTTGGAGAAGGGACCTTGTGCATCTGGGACCTAGATCTTTACATAGAGAGGGTGTCACTTACTTCTCTGAGAGTCTGAGAGAGTACAGTGAGGACTTTGGCTCTTGGAGGAGGGACTATGGGATAGAATTATGGCTGTTGGGACCAACTGTCATGAAAAATGGTTGTTGATTAAGTGGATAAATAAGCAGAGAGGGGCAAGGTCCTCTTCACCCTCCAGCCTTGCAGGGGCCCTCTGTCCCCTCTCCTATTGGCAGAGCCTTACAGGGAGCTGCTGGCAAAACACATTTGTGGGGTCCCAGCCCTTGTGCCGAGAAAGGTGGGCTTGGAACAGAGAACAAGGATTGCATGACCGGTATAAAAGCATCGGGGTTCATGGGGGATCTGAAATGTTAAGGCCATGTTCCTACTGCAGAGAGCATTGGCTCTCAGAGGACATGATCTGTGCTCCCTCTAGTCTCTGGAGAGGCATGGGGGGGTGAGAACATGGACCTCATCTGTTATTTTGGGGCGCTTGGATCAGCAGAGGGTGACGAAGTTCTGCCAGACCCTGTCTCAGCTCTGGGCACAGAGCACGGACTCACATTCTAGAAGGAGGGGCCTCCCCACTTGCCCTTCTATACACGTGCTAGCAGCATGCAATCTGGCTGCTCACTCTGGCAGTGGGCAGCCCAAGGGCAGGGTCATTGCATGTTTCACCAAGCAGTTTCAAACAAGAGTTCAGCTCGGTCCAGAGTGTCCTCAGACACTTCATCCTTGGCTCAGGGACTGGCCGTGGCTTCTCAAAGCCTCCTGGCAGCCACAAAAAGGACCGAGTGATGTAAGGAGAGTGTGGAGCCTTTTACCCATAGGCTGCGTCCACCTTCTTGGTGGCCACAGACTTGCCTGTCTGGAGGCTGAGAAATGCAATTCTGAACTTTTGCCATAGCATCAAATGAAAACCAGGAAGGGTTGCATCCCGACGAGTCGCATTTCCTGCTCTGCTTGCTCGGGGATTGAAGCCAGGGTCCCATTCATGCTAGGAAAGCACCTGGCCACTGGGCTACATCCCCAGCCCCCACTTTGCACTCTGATCCTCCACCCTTGTGTTCCCTGGGCTTACTGACAGCCTGGCAACACTTTCCATGAGCAGAGGCCTTTTCTGCACGGCCCCTCCTCTCCCCAGACGCGCTCTGGATCTTAGGCCCAGAGGGATGGCCCCCAGCTCACCCATGGGAATAGCAGAAACACAGCTGGAAACAGATGCCTTGTGCCCACCCCCCATCTTTTTTTTCTGAAGTTAGAGGTGGTGTATCTACTCCTTAGGGAGAGCTTTTGCACAAAGAGAACAGTCTCAAAGCTTCCGGTCCCCAGAGTGTAAGGATGAGACAAGGGAGTTGTCAGGGAAGGAATGGTTACCTAGGAAAGCAACCACTGCCAAGTAAATATTGCATTCCTTGGAGGGAGACAAGCTAGTAAAGTGGAAATATCACTTTCCTCCTCCCCTGGGAAGGCCCGAGTAATGTTGGAAGGAGACGGTAGACAACGGTCACAGCTGAATCCTCGTTCTGGTTTAGATGGGGGAATGATCCCGGGCTGGCTGGGACAGACCAGAGCCCCAGTTGATGCCAGACAGCTGGCCCTCTCCCGGCCCCAGCCCATGTTGGTGGTGGTGGTTGGTGGGGGTGCCCTTGAGAGCCAGCTTGGGGGTGGTCAGGGAAGAGAAGCAGCCGAAGGCATGACTGGGTCTGATCAGCTTTCCCATCCACATGACATCATTCGACATGGCATAGACACAAACTTCCAGAAGGAAGAGCCTCATGTGTCATGTGCTGTGGGAACTGGCTCTAATCTGAACCAGCACCCTCTCCTGGGCCAGGCTTTGAGAGCTGGCTTGCATTAAGGGGTTGCTGCTGAGGCCAAGCTGCAGGCCTGAGGCACCGCCCCCACCCCACCCCAAGCAAGCTGATTGGCTGCATCCCAACATGCTTGGGGCACTGGAGTGGGAGCTATTTAAAGCTAGCACTGGAGCTCCAGGCTTCAGAAGAGACTGTTTATTCTTATCTCTGGCAGCTCCCAGACTCTCTCCACTCAGGTGGGGTTTCTTCATGGTGAATCTTGCTTGCATCTAGAAGTGAGAGTCTGACATAGAATGGACTTCTGTATATTTATGATGTCAAAATAAATTTCATATCAAGCACGAAGGAGGCAGTTCTAGAGAGGAAATTCTTCCAAAGCCATTGGATAACGTGGTCTGTCTGGGAATCAGACACTTGAACATTTGACAAATTGCTAGGTTGGTACCCATATGTCCTACCTGGAACCGAGCAGTGGACTCATTTTCAGCTCTGTTCTTTGAATTGCATCTTCCTCCCCTCCCTGGAGGATCTTAGCTGTCGACCACTATGGCGCTTTGAGCAGAAGCCTGGTACTTTGCTTGCTAAGTACTCAGTGCAGCTCTGGGCATGCGCAGCTCTGGGCACGCGCAGAAGGCTGAAATCGCCCCCATTCCCAAGTTGTCCTGTGTTGAGACCTCCCCCAACCCAAATATATTCCCAAGTCAAGGGTCTCAGGGCACACCTCAGCGTAGGGATGGGCCCGGGCGGTAGCAGCCTGTAAATGGGGCAGAGTACCAGCATAGGCAGGCTTCTCCGGAGGGGCCGAACGGGGAGTTGGAAATGCAGAGAACAGGAGTGAGGGAGGATGCTGGGTTAGCTAGTGGCAAGCCCGAATTCTGGATTTGGCTAGAGACACAGAGCTGAGTTGAAGCTGCAGTTTAGGTCTGTGGGTAGGCTGGACACAGGACTCCTTATTGGGAGATGGAGAGATCATACTCATACATACATACATACATACATACATACATACATACATACATACACACATACATACATACACACACCTTCAACTAATGCCGCCCACCCTTCACATTATAGAGTTTGATTTGCACCATCCAAAGTCTAATGACATAACTGTTAATCTCATTTTTTAGAAGACCTTCACAACAGTGTGTAGTTTAGTGCCTGGCTAAATATCTCGGTACCGTGGTTGGCACATAAGTAAACCATCCTCGCAAACCAATTGGAAGGTGTCTGACAAACGGTAGAAGGTTACCACTGTGGATCCATCAAGCTCAGTCCTGCTGGGGAACCTGGGGACTCGGTGTAGGACATGCGTGCCTCGGGGTGAGGTACCCTAAGTGAAAGGAAACTGTGTCCTGTCCACAGTGGCACTCAGAGGCCTGACTTCTGCCACGGACTGGAGAAACCAGTGGAGGCAGACAGATTTGGAAGAGGCCCAGGGGATGCGAGTTGGAGCTGGCACCATCCACCCTGTGTTCCTGTGTTCATCCCCGTTCTTGTGGAGCTCATCTGGCTGAGCCACTGCCTTCTGCTTTTCCGCTCGTTTTCCTTCTCCCGAGGGACAAGGACAGCCCTCATTTGTGGTCTGGAAGGATGGCTGGCTAGGGACTGTTGAGACGCTCGGCTGCCACCCCCACCTTGGTTTATCCCACCATGCCTCTCCCTTGTGCTTTGTCAAAGAGAACGAGGTTTCAGGGCAGGTGTGGCAGCTGGAATGTGATTGCCCCCATAAGCTCACAGGAAGTGGGACTATTAGGAGGTGTGGCTTTGTTGGGGTGGTCGTGGTCCTTTTGGAGAAAGTATGTCCCTGTGGGGGTGGACTTTGCGGTCTCATCTATGCCCAAGCCGTGCCCAGTGCCTCAGTCCACTTCCTGTTGCTTTTTGACCAAGGTGTAGCCAGCACCACGTCTGCCTGCACGCCACCATGCTCCCCACCATGATGATAGTGAACTGAACCTCTGAAACGCTAAACCGCCACCCCAGTTAAATGTTTTCCTTTATAAGAGGTGCTGTGGTTATGGTGTCTCTTCACAGCAATAGGAACCCTGACTGAGACCGGAGTTGGTATCGGGAGTGGGGTGTTGCTTTCGTTTGGAGGAATTTGGACTTTGGGACTGTGGATTAGAAAAGCAGGTGAATGATTTGAGCACTGCTCAATGGGCCATCCTAGTGGGGCGTGGGAGACAGTGGTACAGGTTAGATCCGGAGAGCTCTGGATTCTGCTGTCTGGTTGATGGTTCTTGGTCTGGAGCAAGTATTTTTCCTTTTTGGAGCCTCAGGCCCCTTTGTCCTGAAAACGGAGGTTTTGCATAAGCTGACTTAAAGGGTTTCTTCAAGACCTTGGCAATCTGTGCACACTTTCCACTTGTAATGCTTGTTGGCGCCCCGTGTTTTCTCCACTGAACCATTTCCCCAGGAGTAGAACTATCTCCTGGGATGATCCATGTTCCGGGTCCCTCCTGGTGACCCAGCTTTACCTTAGAAATCAGCTGCTTGTCGAAATAAGCAAGGTAGGGCTTCATAGCCTCCACTGGCTAGGAATCTGGGCATGATGGGAGCCATGGTGTGGCTGGGGCCCAGGGAAGCCATTTGATACAGCAAAAATATGCCACAGATGGCTTGTCAAGTCACCTTTTTTTCTTCCCTGTGCAGACTTTCCTTGGTGGCGGGTCCCTTTGATGTTATTTAAGAACATGGCTATTCCTGTGAGTTGGCTTTACCATACTTAAACACCGGCTTCAATGAATGGCCCAAGCTTCCAACAGTTGTGTGGAGATGGCCTGGGGTGGCTCATCTGCCTCCTACCGGTCAGCTATCAAATGTGGTCGTTTTAGGGGCATAGATTATTGCTTATACTTCCTGGAGCTAGAACATTCCTCAGTGGTCGAGCTCTCTCTAAAGAAGCCAAGTTCGATTCCCAGCACCCACCCAAGCTACCTGTACCTCTAGTCCCAGGGGGTCCCCCACTTCCTTCTGGCCTCCTTGGGCACCTGCTCCCATGTAACATGCAATTACATACACACATACATGTAATACAATCTTTAAAAAACACAGTCATCTCAGAACCCACCAAAGAGTTAAGAAATAAAATGGCTCACCGAGAGACTGGCCCCTGTCACAGACAACAGTACTGTAGGTCTGATGACGTTCATCTTATGGGATAAAACACAGCTGTCTGTTTACTTCCAGGCTCCAGAGTAACAGAGGCAAGGTCTGTTGGATCTACCCAGCATGCATTTGGCATCATAGCATCCGTCTTTCCTTTTTTCTGTGCCACTCTCCTGTCTGACACTGACTTCTCAGGCATAGGGCTGAGTTTTCAGGAAGAAATCTCCATGTAGGAGTCACCATGGCCAAATCTTTGGTGGAAGGATCAGCACCCTGAGAGTAGGACCAGCCCCAGGCTGTGCCTCAGTTTCCAAGTATGGAGCTCTGTGAAAATGGAGAGTTTGTTTGTTTCTGATGTTTGCCTGTGGTGTTGACTGATACCTCATTGGGTCCGTAGTACCTGGTGTGCATCTTCTCGCTCCATCATGGGCGACACACACACACACACACACACACACACACACACACACACACAGTTGGAAAGATTTGTTTGTGAGAGATACTGAATCACTGCAGCAATTGTTCCTTAATTTCACAAAGTCAGCAGCTTCTAGTTACATCTCACAGGGTCTGCTGTGATGCTTACCTATCAGACCGCCCTGTGCACGGTAAAGTAATAAAGTAAGTACAAGTATGTTAGTGGTTCTGCTTAGTACCACACAAAGGCATGAGATTTAAACAAGGAAGAACCATAGGCCCGATGTGCCTGGAATCCCCCGGGACACAGGCCACCCTGGTTCTTCCACAGCCTGGTTACAAGCTTCTGAGGTGGTGTGATGTGGGCTCAGGGCAGTCCCCTGTATTGTGCGAACTGTGGGGCTGGGTGGTCTCACAGCCTACAGAACTGTGGGGCTGGGGAGTCTCACTGCTGTGTGTCCACCTTTGCTGACACCTTTGACCCTTCATTTCCTGTCAGATCTGAGCTACAACCTGACGGCTGATGTGGCCCAGAAGGACAAGGGCCAGCTGCCCAGGGTCTACTTTGTGTTGCTGGGAGAGACCGCCGGCCAGGTCTCAGAGACGTTGCAGCTGGCGCACATGGACGAGATGTGCCGTCACTACCTGGCCCACGTCAAGGTTAGTCTGCCCTCTCCTCTCTTTAATCCTCAGATCTGATCTCTACCGATGGCCATTCGGACTTTTCATTATGTAGGCTCTGACTTTCACAGTTCTCGTTCACAATACGTATTTCTTCTTTAAAAGCTCAAAGTGGATGACATCTTATTTATCTTTAATTTTTTTCAAAGCACTGCGTCCTGGAGGGGTGCATCCTTGCCACGGTGTGTGTGCGTGTGCGTGCGCATGTGCGCGCGCATCGGTCAAAGAGCAACCCTGTGGTTCTAGGGATTGAACTCAGGTGGTCAGGCTTGCAAGAGAAGCAAGCGCTCTACCCAGTGAGTCATCTCATGGGTTCTCCTTTACTTATTGTGCTGCCCCTCACCTCTGAGCAGGGTAGGGGATGCCAGGAGACCAGTCTCTGACTGTGCCCTGTTCCCTTGAGATGTCATTCTCTGCCCTCTGCAGCTTGACAGTCATTCAGAGGAAAGCATCGGCAGCCATGCTCTGGGCCTCATATGGCGTCATTCCTAATGCCTTTCTTGGTGGTCTACGACATGACATAGTAACTCTCAGTCAGAGTTAACTCATTTTAAAACTGGTTGGATACAATTCTCTTGTTGGTTACTTTCTGTTTATTTTAGAAGTGCATTTGGGGGGGTCTCTTTCCTTCCTCCAAATAAACTTCCAAATGTTTTCCTCCTCTTGAAAGTACTTTCTAAATGTATTTTGTAGTAATTCGGGAGGCCAGGCGTCCTGGCCAAGGTCACTGCTGGAGAGCCAGAGAGGAGAGAAGGTGGACGGACTCAAGATCTGGCTTGTGCAATCGGTGTAATGCCTGTGGGTGTGGGGTTGGATCACACACACCTGGTGTGGATTAGTTGTGTGAGCACTATATGTGAGTTCCTGTGGGTGTGAGTGTAGTTGTGTGAGCACTGTGTGTGAGTACCTACTTCTCCAAAATGTGCATCCGATACTCAGCCTTGAAAGTAGTCATTAGCATCCAACATTGCCCAGAGCTGGGTGGCATGTGCTGCAATCCCAGCACTTGGGAGGAAGAGGCGGGAGGATCATGGGTTCAAATTCTGCCTGGGCTACCTAGAGAGTTTCAGCCTAATCTGGGCTCATATAGTCAGACCCGATCTCAAAGCAAAACAAAAGGAAAACATTGCACAGTGAGTGAATATAAAAACTGCATGGAGTCAGATAAAGGCACTCAGTATTATTATTCCTTGGTTGGCTGGGCCATAAATAATTTCCAAAATTCTGACGTTTTGACTTACATAAACACCAATTTTGTATAGTCTAACATATTATTATTAGCCATAGATTTCTGGCAGATGGAATCTGTAGATTGTAGTGTCTTTTCACTGTGGCCTTGCTGGGGTAATAGTAACAGCTGCTTCTAGGCTGTGTGTAGAGAATTACCTCCATGACTGCGGCACGTGGTCTGGCCTGGAGCCTGTAAGTTCATACCCTGAGATACTTTGCAATGGGGTTGGGCTCAGCCTGCGGCCAGACTCATGTCAGGGCCTGCCCAGGCCAGCTGCCCTTGACTTGGGCTGCTGGCCACTTAGAAAACCGCCCATGTGCTTGTTAAGCCTCCCCTGCCCTTCTTGATCTTAGATTCCTTTGGCTTATGAGTGCCCTCGAGGGTGTGGGCTGCTTAGGAGAGACTCATGTGCAAGTCTCAAGATGTATCAAATGGTTCTGTTTGACACTTGCTAGGGCGTGGGCCTCCTCCTGCTAAATCTGTTCCACAAATCTTTCCTTTGTGGATCTTTGCAACTTCTTGCTTTGGCTGAAAACTTCATAGCAAGTGGTTCCTCCCAACGAGAAGTCTTGAAAGATAGGGCCACAAAGAACCTGCTGTAGGCCCTGGCAAATGCATTCAGGGAACAGCCATAGTGTAGTCCTGGTTGGGGAGGAGCTGTCACTATGATGGCCTCCATGGAAGGCTAGGCAGGCAGAGCTGTTCCTGTGGCGGCCTCTGAGGAAGGCTGCCCACAGCTCGATCTAACCTCTTAACAGATAAAGTGAATAGAGGTGTAAGATTTCCCATCAAATTCGGATCTCAGATAAACTGTTTTTTTAGTATATGTACAATGTCTCTTTTCTTAGGGGCTTCTCCTTCTGAGGTATCAGTTATGATAGGTCACTGAGGTCTAATAGTATTATATGGAAAAAATTCTAAAAATAATAAGTGTGAAATAAATTTTACCATAGGATATTGCAGTTCAATTTTTAATGGTTATCGTTTTGCCTAATTTGTGAATTTAATCGTAGGTAAATATGTTTGGTATTATTTGCAGTTTCATACAGCCGTCAAATGTTTTTAAACATGTCCCCGTGGATAAGGGGGGGACGTGGCACCACCCAGGACTGCTTCGGATGCTGTGGTTGTTGTGTTATGGGATGTGTGGTTGTTGTGTTATGGGATGTTGTGGTTGTTGTGTTATGGGATACTGCATTTGGCTTACCTCTGCTGACAGACTCAACAGGCTCTAGAATCACTTGGGAGGCAGACCTCCAGGCAGGCTTGTGATAGATAACCTAGGTCAGGTAAATTGAAATAGGAAGATCTCCCTAAAATCGGGCAACCCTTTCTCCAGGCTAGGGCCCTGCACTCCACAAAAAGGTGGAAGTGAGCTGAGCATCAGGCATTCACTGCTTTCCGGCTGAGGATGCAGTGTGACCGCAGCCCCAAGCCCCTGCGTCGAGGGCTTCCCCGGCACGGGGAACTGTGCCCTTACACTGCGGGCCACAGTGGGCCCTTCTTCCTCTAAGATTGTGTACCAGGTGTTTTGTCACAGCAAGATGTAGAGTAGTTATTCGGATACATTCACACATATTTGTTTGTGGGACAGTCTTCTGCTGTCACCCATGCTGGGTTGAAACTTGCCACAGGTCTCCCGGGCTTACCTCAAACTTAGTCCTCCCAATTCAGCCCCGCCAAGTACCAGGATTACAGGCATGAACCACCATGCCACTTACCTGAAGTTGACTTTTAGCTTGCCATCCCATTGGCATGTCTAGCTCTATTGGGCCCCACATGGGACATCTTGGGCTTCTCAACTAAAACCTAGCCAATCAGAGCAAAAGTGAGAAGAGTTAGAACAGTTAGCCCAGAGTGCGGCTGTTCAGGGCAGGTCCTGGGAGAGAAAGCGGACCAGCTTTAGTGGATTTTACCTTATAGGTATTGTTTGATTATTTTCGTGCAACCAGCTGAGGTGGTGGCCTATACCAGAGAGAGACAGAGTTCCAAGAGCTTTATGCAACAAGAGCCATCTCTGCTGTTGAAAAGCTCAAAGCAGTGAATACTCACTAGCCGCGAGGGAAGCTTTATCCTAGGGTCACTATCCAGTGCTAACGGGAACTGGGTGAACGTGGAGTGGGTAAGTTAATGAGCTAGCTAGCTGTCCCCACTGTGGTACAGCAGACCTCGAGGCTCACAGGCAGAGCCTGTGCGGTTTGCAGGGCTTTGGGGAAACAGCTGTGGGGGCCGAGATAGGAGGCAAGAGTGGGTGAGGGGTGTGACAGTGATCGCTTCCCAGCCTGGGTTTCGGACTGGGGCCTGTGAATCAGGCTGAGGGACCATGGCGTGGTCTCTGTTGCACAGCGGACTCTCAGCTCTGCAGACAAGTCATGGAAGATAAATGCTCCGTCTTATCACACGCCATATGGCCAGCAGACAGGCCGGCACTGGGGCCACGCGTGTTTTGTTTAGGCTATCTTTAGGCATTTTTTCTTCTTTCTGTCTTTAAGTCTGTTCAGTGCTCTGTTGTTTTCTTCTTTCTCCCCCTAACTTTTCACTCCATATATGGTGATGCTCTCCACTGTGTGGGCCAGCTGTGTGGTACCCTGATCTGTCTTGAAGGGACCCCTAGGGCAAGCCACATCCTCCTCTTGGGCAAGTGCTGGAGTCGGTCCAGTTGCTTCCTTGACTGCTCCTCAGATGCCATGCACCCCACTTATCCTTCCCCTGACCAGTCCAGCTTTGGAGGCATGACCCCTCTACTGTCTAACTAGAGGTCTGGTTAGACACCACGGGCATGGGTAAAATCCAGAGCACTTCTTGGCTTCAGGGTTCCCAACTACTCAGCCTCAGTTTACCTTTGTAGTTTCCTCTTCTACTTGCACAGCACACATGTTCTGACTCTCTGCCAAGCTGTCCTGTCCCCTTTCCACGCTTCCCTGCTGCGGTCCCTTGATGTCATGGTTGTGTCTCTAGCTCTTCGATTATATGTTCTTTTTGTGCATCTCCTGCTTGCTTTCTGCATCTTTTTCTGTCTTAAAGTTGCACCCCCTAACTCTCTGGTTTCATAATTTCTCTTTAAGCCAGATGACTTTTAGCTCTTTTGTAAAGTAAGAGGGTTGCGCCCTTCTGTAAACAGAAAACCAATTATTACATGCCTAACTCAGAAAGCAACTGTGAAAACAAAACCCACTGGAGTCAAAACAGTGTTGTTGAATTCTGGCCATTTTCATTGTTTCCCAGTCTCTGTAGAGGCGCCTGTCCACCCTGTGTGTTAAAAAGGGAAATTACTAGACCCTGAGAGAATTGAAAACATTAGGATGCCATAGCCTAATGCCACTAGAAAGATGGATAGGACTTGACCGGGAGATAACATTTTAAAAGATGATGGTCCTTTTATAGAGCCATGCCTGAATGTCATTGACAGCGCCAGCAATAGCCCACTTGGAAGCCCTGGTGTATTCTGATTGACTTGCCTCTACCCACCTCATCTGCTGAAGATTTGACTGTCCCTGAGGAGGCAGTCTGTCCACAGGTCATCCCCAGTCAGTCCCAGGCTCTAAGGAGCCTCCCTCAGGTTCCTGCCTGCTGCAGATGGTTCTAATCTACTGACTCCTGCTTTGGGACGGTAGGCTCAGAATGAACACCTAGCATATGGAACCATGTTGGAATGACTAACTGGAACTTGAGGTCACAGGGAGCTTCAGATACCAAATGGGGATCACATCTCTGAGGAACCAGTAAATGGTGTTGGGGGAGGTGGGCA